AGGATGGTCTCAGTCTCCTGACCTCATGATCTGCCCGCCTCAGCCTCCCAAAGTACTGGGATTACAGGCATGAGCCACCACGCCTGGCCGATTTCTATTCTTTTGTTTATTTATTTATTTGAAACAGAGTTTCGCTCTTCTTGCCCAGGCTGGAGTGCCATGGCACTATCTCGGCTCACTGCACCCTCTGCCTCCTGGGTTCAAGCGATTCTTCTGTCTCAGCCTCCCGAGTAGCTGGGACTACAGGCATGCGCCACTAAATCCGGCCCAGTTTTGTATTTTTAGTAGAGATGGGGTTTCACCATGTTGGTCAGGCTGGTCTTGAACTCTTGACCTCAGGTGATCCACCCGCCTCGGCCTCCCAAAATGCTGGGATTACAGGCGTGAGCCACCACGCCCGGCCCAATTTCTATTCTTAAAATCTGTTTTATTTATCTCTGCTCTCATTTTTATTTTTTTCTTGTTTTTGCTTGCTTTTAGTGTAGTTTGCTCTTCTTTTTCTAATTCGTTATGGTGTAAACATAGGTTGTTGTTTAAAATCTTCATTTTTATGTAAATGTTTACAACTATAAATTTCCTTCTTAGCACTGCTTTTTCTGCATTCCATAAGTTTTGGCATGTTGGGTTTTTATTTTTATTTTGTCTCAGGGTATATTTTAATTTCCCTCGTGAAATCTTCTTTGATCCATTGATTGATAAGAATGTGTTGTTTGATTTCCAAATATTTGTTAGTTTTCCTAGTTTCCTTCCATTACTGATTTTTAGTTTCATTTGATTATGATGGGAAAAAAATACTTTGCTTGATTTCAATTCTTTAAAATTTGTTAAGACTTGTTTCTTTTAGTCATTGCTGAAAAATGTTTTACATGCCCTTGAGAGAAATGTGTAGACCACTGTTGTTGGATGCAGTGTTTTGTCTGTGTTAGCTTCAATTGCTTTACAGTTTTGTTTGTATCCTCTATTTCCTTGTTTATTTTCTGTCTAGTTGTCCTGTCCATTATTGAAACTGGAGTATTGAAGTCTCCAACTATTATTATAGAACTGTCTGTTTCTCCCTTTAATTCTGCCAGTGTTTGCTTCACATAATTTAAAGTTCGGATGTTTGCTGTATATATATGTTTTTAATTGTTACATCATCTTGGCAAAGTGACCCATTTATCAACATTTAAAGTCCTTCTTTGTCTTTGATAATAGTTTTTGACTTGAGACTATTTTGTCTAATATTAGTATGGCTTCTCTACCTTTCTGGTTACTATTTGCATGAATTATCTTTTTCTAACCTTTTACTTTGAACCTATGTGTTTTCTTAGATCTACAATGTGTCTTTTATAGATACGCAGTTGAGTCATGTCATTTTATTTATTATGACACTCTGTGCCTTTAATTGGGGGAGTTTAATCAATTTACCTATAAATACTAATAAGGAAGAACTAACTTTTGCCATTTTGTTTTCTGTATGTCTTTTAGCTGTTTTGTCCTTCATTTCTTCCATTACTGCCTTTGTTTGTGTTTACTTGATTTTTTGTAGTGACACAATTTGATTCCCTTCTCTCTTTTTTTTCTTTTTGGTATATTTTATAGAAATTTTCTTTGGTTATTATAGGGATAATATATAATATCCTAAAGTTTTTACAATCTAATTTTTTGTACCAGTTTAACTTAAATCACGTTGAACAACTACACTTCCATTGCTCTGTCCCTCTCATGTTATTGATGTTGGAAGTTACAGTATTATACTTGATGTACCTATTAACACAGATTCATGATTTTTTAATGCATTTGCCTTTAAAAACTCATAGAAAATATAAGGTGAACTTGCAAACCAAAATTCTAATAATACTGGTCTTTATATTTGCTCTTGCATTTACCTTTACGGGATCTTTATATCTTTATATTGCTTTGAGTTACTGTCTAGAGTCTTTTTATTTCAACCTGAAGGACTACCTTCAGTATTTCTTGTAATATATGTGTAGTGATAATGAACCTCCCTCAGGTTTTGTTTATTGGGGAATGTCTTTATTTCTCCCTCATTTATAATGGTCACTTTTGCCAGATACAGAATTTGCATTTGACAGTTATTTTCTTGTAGCACTTTAAATGTATCGTTGCACTCCCTTCAGGCCTCCAAGGTTTCTGCCAGAAGGTTGGCTTATAGTCTTATTTGAGGATTCTAACTATGCAGTGAGTCGCTTCTCTTTTGCCACTTTCAAGATTCTGTCTTGGCTTTTGACAGTTTGATTGTAATTGTGTTGATATTGGTTGTGAGTTTTTCTTATTTGGAGTTTGTTGAGATCCTTGGATTTGTAGATTCATCGGTTTCATCACCTTTGGGGAGTTTTTTCCTTCATGTAATCTCTGTGTTCATTTCTCTTCCTCTGAAACATCCATTGGGTATATATTGGTCCAGTTGTTTTGTTTCATAATCTCTTGGGCTCTGTTTACTTTTCATCTTTTTTCTTTCTGCTCAGATTTGATAATTTCAATTGTCTTCAGGTTTACTGAGTTTTTTCTTTTGCCTACTCAGTTCTGCTATTGAACCCATATAGTGACATTTTCAATTCAATTATTGTATTTTTCAGCTCCACAATTTGTTTTTATAATTCCTCTTTATTGATATTCTCATTTTGCTTATTATTTTCCTGATTTGCATTCATTTTGGTTCATTTTTTTCTTTAGCTCTTTGGGCATAGTTAAGACAGCTACTTTCAAGTCTGTATAATAAGTCTAATATCTGTATTTCTTCAGGAATAGTTTCTGGAAATTTTTGTTCCTTTGGGCCATATTTTCCTATACCTTGTTGCATGCCTTGTGATGTTTTTTGAAAACTGAGTATTTGAAAGAGTCACCTCTCTCAGTTGCACACTGGCTATGTACTACTGGGGCATTTCTCTGCTGATGAGTTGAGCATGCCCTTAACCTAGTGATCACCCCAAGATGAAAGCTTAAGATCTTCTTTTCTGAGCATTTGTATTGCCTAGGCCTGTGGGTCGCTTTCTCATTTCCTCCTGTATACATGGCTGCTTTTGAATGTCTTAATTTCCTGAAGAGTCTCACCTGCATGCTCAGATGGTCTATTATATCTACCCACTGTAATCTTATGCCCCAAATATCTGTTGTGTCCTCTTGCAGCTTTCATGAGTGGTGTGCATTGCTTCTCTCTCCAAATGAGGTTCCGGTTAGGCAAAACAGGAATCAGTTCTTCTGGCAGACCAGAGAGGTTAAAATGTTACAAGTTAGGTCTGCACTCTTCCCGCCCATTTGAAGGGAATGAATTGGGAATTGGTTTGCTGCCTTCTTGAGACCCAGATAAACTGCAGAAGGGGTGGGACAAGATCACAGAAAAATGTCACAAAAGTTTTGCATATTTTTTTTCCTTAATTGGGCATTTGCTTCGTCGCTATAGACTTTTGACTGTTTTTCACAGGTCCTGTAAGGTTAATTCTACGAGGTTTTGGTTGTTTTTGGTGTTTCTGTGAGGAAATGAGGCTTTGAGCTTTTTAATTTGCCGTTTTGCTGATGCCACTCAGTAATGCTTTTTAAATTATGAATATAATAGAATCATATTGAAGGAAGTTTACAGCACCCCGAAGTATAACAAACTAAGAAAAATCATCTACATTGTACTATCCCCAGAGTAGCCACTATTTACATTTTGGTGCGTTACCTTCAGACTTATTTTTCTTCCTCTCTCTTTTCCCTTTGTCCTGTGTCGTCTTGTTCCCCGACTCCTCACCACAAATAAAAAGGGTAAAAAAACTAAAAAAATCTCTAAACATAATTTATTGAGTACAGTGTTAATCTTTTAATGAGCATACTTTTTAATTTCCCAAAACATTATTGTATATACTAAAATTTTCATTTGTATTTCCAAAAGGAAATATTGTAGATATTTCTGATACCATCCAAATGCTTGGGTTTTATTCTAGTCTTTCTGCTTTCAAGGTATAAGAGTTAAGAAAGAATTGGGTGTGGCCAACCCATGTTACTTTCCTGTGACTTAGACATTTTTGGCATTTTTACATCTAGTAAAAAGTGGCATGCTTTCAGTCAAAGGGTAAGCCCAGACCATGTGGAAAGGATCTTATCTCTTTTGAGAGCTGATATAAAAAGAATTCCTCCTAGACATATATTGTGACATCAGTTACTTAGGCTAAACATGCCTATTATTCTAAGTGAATTATTAACAATACATACTTTAACTCTATGCCATGTTAATTATCGTAATATGGTTTATAATTTATTTTAACCTTAGGTTATATATACCTTGAAGCCATTTATATTTTGGTATACTTGTAATAGTTACTATACACTAGACTATGTATATTAGACTAGAGATGGAGAGTCAAAAAAGAGTACGTGATCAGAGTACAAATCATGCCCTAGCTTCCTTCATGTCTACCTCCTACCTTGAGTAGAAGCAGTATAAAAAATAATTACCTAGGATTTTTTTGGATTCTGGTTTGGGAGAAGTAGTACCCTTATATTTAGACTGATGGGTGGCTAAATTAGAAAGTATTTTTTGTGATTTAGAGTTTTATGTGGAGATGCTCATTGTGATTAATTATTCTTTGTATTAGCAGATTTTTGCCTTTTATGGCTGCATGATTTCTTGTTTTGGTCATTCATTATTGTCTATTAGTAAAGAAAAACTTTATTTCACTCAAGCAGCAATGTATAATCCAACTTGGATTTTTTAATAATGACTTTTTTCTTTGGGAATACATTACTGTTAAAAATGTAGATTATTAGATACATTACTTTTAATGAATATAAGTTGTATAATTAGAAGACTGAAAAGAATCCCTGGAAGCATGAGTCTAATTTGATAGTTAAGAAACTGAGGACAAGATACTTATTCTTTGTAGCATATTTTCTAATGTCATTTCATTGTTTCACCAAGAAGTACTTGCATAAAGCAAGTTCAATTATAGCATCTGTTGAATATTTAAGGTTGGGTAAAGTGGGTGAATTTAACAGATATTTTCCCTTATTTCTTTTAGGTGAATCTGGATTGGGAAAGTCGACGTTAATCAACTCATTATTCCTCACAGATTTGTATTCTCCAGAGTATCCAGGTCCTTCTCATAGAATTAAAAAGACTGTACAGGTATGGATATTAGTATTGTTAATTGATGATAAGCTGGAATAATATTAATACAAAGCACATATCGTAACTTTTATGATGCTTCCTTAGAAGTAAGATACAAATTTGCCCTTATTCAGTGTAAGATAGTATATATGACTTCATAAAATTTTTTAAAAAGTACAGTTAATCAGAAGAATTATCTTGACTAGAACTTTCCAAATTTGTCCCGAGGACTCTCCTAGAGATGACATTGTGACATAGTAACCAATTCCCCTGGAGTTGTGCTATCTAGTATGGTAGTCATTTGCCACATGTTTAAATCAATTAAAATTAGTTAAATTAAAAATGCAATTTTTCATTTGCTCCAGATACATTTCAGGTGCTTAACAGCTCATGTGGCAAGTGGCTGCCATTTTTTTGCAGCACATATATGAAGATTTTCATCATTGCAGAAAATTGCATTGGATAGTGTAGAGAAAACATGATTTATAGAAAAGCTTTTGTTATTTAAATACAGTGTTCTATATTAGTCAATGGCATAATACCATATCATAGTTGAATGGCAATAGCAAATTCTGTAAGACTCCCAAGGTATATGTGATCTAATTTACTGCTTCTCAGTATTTGCTATGCATTCCAATCCTGGATATCCTGTTAAATTTAGTTCTTCTAGTAGGTCTGAGATGGGCTGCAATTTCTGCATTTCTAACAAGATCACAGGTGATGCTGATCCTGCTGGATGGTAGATCACACTTTATAGAGCAAGGGGCTGGATTCTAGATATGCACTTTTTATTAAATATTACAGCAACCTGTAGCCATGTGTGGCTATTAATCTTTGAAATGTGGGTAGTCTAAATTGTGATGTTCTGCAAATATAAAATATACCACAGATGTCTAACACTGAGCATGGAAAAAAAATCTCAATAATTTTTTATATTGATTGTATACTACAGTGATAATATTTTGGATGTATAAATAAAATAATCAATTTTATTTAACCTTTTTCATATTTTAAAAGTGGCTACTAAGAAAATTATAAATTATGATTGACATGGTATTTTTTTTTTTTATTTAACCTTTTTCCTATTTTAAAAGTGGCTACTTAAGAAAATTATAAATTATGTGATTGACATGGTGTTTTTGTTTGGCAGTACTGCTCTAAACTGTTGATTAAAAATATTGTTGTTGAGCTCTGCTTATGTGATATATAGGACACGAGCAGAGAGGAGGCAAGTGAACATTTCTGGCTGGAGTCAGCTTCATTGAGGCAGTGATGCTTTTAGCTGAATTCAAAGAAGTGGTAGTGATGATCCCAGTGCACAGGATGGAAGGACAGTCTATATATTCTGGGCAGTAACTCATATGTATCAAACTACAAGATGCAGTTTAGTAACTAGATCCCAAAGGAATAATTTTGTGAAGTGAATTTCTTATTTCTCCTTTTCGATGTTTCTATTTTAGGATTTTGTTGTGTTTTGTTTTGTTTTGTTTTGGTAACCTTCATAGGGCTTGAGATTTAAAATTACCTGCAAAATTATGCTCTAAAAACTTGATCCTGCATGCTTGTTTGTCATAAATATTGGAAATTTTAATCCTAAGCAAGAAAACGAACTTTGAACTTTCTTAATTTGGGTATCTATTATGAATACCTTAATTTAGGTATTTATGAATTTAGAGATGCAAGGTAAAACTAACCACTACCCAAATTAATATGCAGTTCATTTCCAGAACCCTAGTTTCTTCCGTGTGCTCACTCTCATTCAGTATTACACCCCACAAAGATAAACACCTTAACTGACTGCTTTCTCCATAGATAAATTTGCCTGTTCTTGAACGTTATATACATATACTTTTTTGTATCTGTTTTCTTTCAGTGAAGATTACGTCTGTATTATTTACTCATGTTGGGTGTAGTTCTTTTTCATCATAGTATGATACTCCATTGTGTGAATTTATCAGTATATCCTTTATTGTTTATTTTAGATAAGCCTTTGGGTTTTCAGTTTTTTACTAATAGGAACATTCTTGTGTATGTTTTGGTAGACTTAGGCGCTCATTGCTGTTGTGTGTGCATAAAGATATAAAGGTATTTGAGTTTATTTTCTTTGATTTCTAGTGAGGTTGAACATGTCTTTTGTACTCATTAACTGTTCACATTTCATTAAAGTGTTTTGATAATCTTAATATTTTCTGTCATTTTCTTACTGATTTATAGGAGTTTTAAAAATCTAATAATCCCCTACATTTTAGATATTGCAGACATTTTCTCGCCAGGCAAGCATCTGTTAAAGATGTGACATGCCCTCAATTTATTAGAATTCTTACATTGGCCTAGCTTCAGAATAAATTGTCTAAACTTATTTTACCTTCCTTTAAAATAACACTTCAAAAATATCCTCTTCTGTTGTGAATATCTTCCCAGAAACTCTCTTTATCTTGAAAACAAAGGGGTAATGGAGGTGAGAATATCTCTAGGAGGATTTTTAAGACAGAGGCATGTGTACCACTGTTAAATATCTTTTCTTTACCAAAAAGAAGACCTGTAACATTTGAGAACCAGATTGATCCTTACTAGAATCCTGTAGAAGTCCTCTTTCCTGACTGAACCATGGAGGTGTATTCCTTTGTGTACTGGGAACCAGTTGAAGATCATCTAAACTCTTTTGCCCATTACTCAGGAAAGAACATGCCATTATTACAGGGTCAGAGTCGTTCAAGAAGCCTGAATGTAGTTAGAAAATTAGAATGTAATCTTTTTAATAGTTGGCTGGCTCCTTACCAAGCCCAGTAGTCTAGCAGATGATCTGCCGTTGGAAGCTCGTAAACACTCACAGTAGAGGGGAGTGATCACCAGTATTGTATCTCAGTCCAGACATATTAGTCTGGTAAACATACAGTCCTGATTTTCAAAATACAAATGTTTATAAAAATGGGGAGAAAAACACTCTCCTGTTATGTAGCTGAATAAGGAGCAAGATTTTAATAAAGACCACGATCTCATATTCTCATCCCTGGGCGTTATCTGTTTATAAGAGACTTGTATCTTAAAGGAGATATTTATTCACATTCACAGTCTTGGAAGGAATGGGAAGCTGTGTACACTGAGCAGAGAGCTGATTTTTAGCCTCCTGTGTGTAAAATAGTGGTTCTGATTCAAGTGAAGTTTTCAGTATTAATAGAAGCTCATTAAGATTAATTCTTAACCTCTTATCTTGGACGTCAGAACCCTGAGTTATATCTGTGCATTTCCAGATGCAAGCTGACACCAGTCCTGGAATTCTTTATACCAGTGCTTCTCAAACTTGAGCGCACATCACAGTCACGTGGAAGGCTTGTTCAAACACAGATTGCTGAGTCCCTTTCTTCATGGTTTGCTGTATAGCAGGTTTGAGGCAGGGCACAAGTAATTTGTATTTGTTTAGTTCTCAGAATGTATTACTGCCAGTCTAGGTACTGCATTTTGAGAACCACTGCTCTACTGCAAACTGGTTTTATCCTGTGCCTGTCAGGGTGAAAGGAGGAAAGGGAAGTGCTTTGCCTTAGTTCTTTCAGAATGTTTCAAATGGAATGGAATGGTACCATATTACCTCCATTTTTTACTTACATATATATTTTTCTGAAAGATTAATGAAAATGAAGTAAAATAAAAAAATTGAACATGTGATAAGTTCTACTTCATGTTTCAGTCTCAAATATAGATACCCAGATTAACAAAATTTTTTGGAAATATATTGCTTACAATGTTGTATGTATACTAACAATTAAGCTTTATTTTATAATTTTGTTGCATTTGAAAATTTTTATATTTATTTATTTTTGAGATGGAGTCCTGCTCTTTCGTCCAGCTGGAGTGCAGTGGTGCAGTCTTGGTTCACTACAACCTCCACCTCTGAAGTTCAATTGTTTCTCCTGTCTCAGCCTCCTGAGTACCTGGGATTACAGGCGTGTGCCACCATGCCTGGCTAATTTTTGTATTTTTAGTAGAGATGGGGTTTTACCATGTTGACCAGGCTGGTCTCGAACTCCTGACCTCAAGTGATCTGCCCGCCTCGACTTTCCAAAGTGCTGGGATTATAGACGTGAGCCACTATGCCTGGCCTGCATTTGAAAATTTTAAAATCATACTTTATGTCAGTGAAAGGGTATCATCTGTCCTTTCTTGGGAAGAAATTATCCTTTTTTCTGAGATGAAAGTCCATTTTAATTTTTTCTTAATGCATTCTATTAAGATCATTCTTTTGTGCAATGACACTGTTTAGAGTTTTTGAAGTTCTTAGTTGGAAACTTTATGCTGTTCCCCTTTGAAACTTTTTATTGGTCCATGAAGTGTTGTTGTTTTTATTTTTCTTTCGAGATGGAGTCTTGCCCTGTCGCCCAGGCTGGAGTGCTGTGGTGTGATCTCAGCTTACTGCAACCTCCACTTCTGAGCTCAAGCAGTTTTCCTGTCTTAGCCTCCTGGGTATCTGGATTTACAGGCGCGCGCTACACCCAGCTAATTTTTGTATTTTTAGTAGAGATGGGGTTTCACCATGTTGGCCAGGCTGGTCTCGAACTCTGGACCTCAACTGATCCTTCCACCTCAGCCTCCCAAAGCACTGGGATTACACGTGTGAGCCACCGCGCCCAACTGGCCCCTGAAGTTTTGTAAATCACTATTTTAGATGAAGTGGTTGCAAAAGTTTTGAAAGTGAGAAAAGATGAAAGCAGTACGTACATCTCTAGGATAACATACTTGATAGACTCCTTGAAAAATTTTCACAGAGCCCAATCAGGAAACTTTCCTGTTGACATTTGGTCCAGTTTTGATAGATTTTGAGCCATTCACATAACATATTTGAATGCTTGTCTTATACTAAGTTTTGGGGCTACAATGATGATAAAACAAAAAGTTCTCAAAGATCTCACAATTGTGGGAAAAATATGGACAAACAATTATGACTTAGTGAGAAAGATGCTTTTGTAAGGTGCTGTAGAGGTGACCTTGGCAAGGTAAATTTAAATGAAGTGGTAGCAAGATGGCAGTGGGTTGAGAAGTGAGTAGTAAGTGAGTCAGTGAGGATGGGTGATGGCTATTAAGGAAGGGATGAAAAGGAGTGCCTAGGAGTGTGAGTATAGAGGACTCAGTGGTTTGATGATTTCCAAAAGAGACCTGAGAATGCTTATATCCTGTGGCAAGTCGTTCTCTAAGAAATGAGAGATTGAAGATAGAGGGGAAATAGTGTAAACAGTTGTCAAGATGAATCTGAAATGGAAATTAATCAGTTCCCTATAATAGATTGAGAAATTGCTTTAGGAAAAAGATATATTTCACACACACTGTACCATAAGGTACACTGCTGATTCATACAGACTGGGAATGGTCTCATTTTTAAGTGGAGATGTGAGGTACTGCACTGAGCATTGTGACAGACGTGGGCTTGGGAAGAGCTTTACTGGGAAATGGGAGAGGCATAAGACTAAGGAGCATATAAGAGGAATATTAGCAGGGAAATTCTTGTTGAGGTTGAAGGTCATGAATTTTATGGTGTAGGAATAGAAAGATGGGTTAATCCAGAATGGGATTTGAGTTGGAAAGGGAAAGAAAGAAAGGTTTTGGGAAGGAGGTTGATAATAGAAAATGAGAGGGTCAAGGGATTTGAGGTCTCACTGTAAGGAGACAGGGATATAAGAGATGAAGAGGTTCAGAATAGAAGGCCAAATTAGAATTTTGGGATCAACTTTCTTCTCAATAAAGTAGTTCTGGGTCTTGATGAGATGGAAGTATTCTTTAGGGATAACTGTTCTACTATTGGTCACTTCCTCTTTCACTTTCTTGTGGAACACGATTAAGATGATATTTGTCTTTTGAGTCAATAAATAAGCAAAATAGCTTTTGTGTTTGAGCTAAGTGGAGTATCTCAGGCCATTCAAATCTCTTCAGAGTTTTGGCTATAATGCTACCTCTTGAGCAAGTGTAGGTAGAGGTAAGCTCTTGACAGAGAATTTTAACTCTCTCTTCAAAATGTTATGTTCTTAATTAAGTAACATTTTTTATTTACCTTAATAAGTGGCATGTAAACATTAAGTTAGAAAAGATTAGTTTATATGAAGCTGTATAGTAAGCATTGTTTGACTTTTTTTCCTCAGATTGTAAAACTGAAAACTCAGTATACTGGAACTCTTGTATACTGTATACACTCAGTATTCGAAAATGAGTACCTTGGATTTCTGGAATCTCGAATGCCAAAAGAGGTCTCAGTAGATTAATTATACATAGATGATACGTAGACGATAGCTTTAGTTTTATTTATTTTTCAGGGAAAAACAGTTGAAAATGCCCTCGATTCATTCTTTTGGTACTAAATTATGCAGCTAATCTTAGAGAACCCTGAGTGATGCCATAAAATATGTTGATGTGACCTGCTTAAGGAAAGTGCATGGGAAAGTGACCATTTGGAATAGATTTGTTAAGAAAAGTTTGAAATTCTTGGACTTGAACTAATTCGTTTTCCATGGATCCCATGAGAATACTTGTAATACCAGATGATAGGATACAGTTGGATCCTGTGAATGGCACTAGTTTACAGTGATGTTTTCTGGATCTTTTCCATATGTCACTGACTTCTTTGTATTTGACCATGTATGGATACACAGAATTTCGTAGGCCAGAGAAGAAAAGAAGCTTTATAAACATTCCTTAAAGTGTATAAAATACAAATCTTCATTTGTCTTAGCAAGTCAGTAAGTTGTTGAACTGATTTTTTTTTAAACAGGGAAATATCTTAAAATTTAAGCTGTTAAGTTAAAATGTGTAGTTGGTATACAGCATATTACTGAAGGTAGAATGGGCTTCGTTTGGTAATAAAGGAACCAGAAATAGTTTGAAGTAAAATTGGAGATGATTCATGTAGATTAACTATATTGCTGTATCACTTTCTAGTATATAGTACTATGTTATTTAAAGGAGTAAGTAGGTAAAGGACTGGTATGATTACTTTGGATATTTCTGCTTCAGCCACAGTTATCATGAATAAATGATCTGTCTTTATAAAGGAGATGGAGGTGAATTCAAGATATTGAGATGTTATATTTGACTGGGTTGTCCTTTGACTAGAAGATCACCAGATAAAATGTAAACCTCTTAAACCAGATGAGATGATACCATTAAAAATGTTTTTTGGCCCAGCACTTTGGGAGGCTGAAATGGGAAGATCGCTTGAACCCAGGAGTGAGGCTGCAGTAAGCTGTGATCTGCCATGCCCTCCAGCCTGAGCAACAGAATGAGACCCTGACTAAAAAAGAAAAATTTTTTTCCTTTGGTTCCCATGATCTCACACTGATGAATCTGATTGTTTTCTCTGAGTTAGTTTGCCTCCCTCATGTTATTAGGGTAACCTGATAATAGACATGTTATCTTAGTTATGTAGTATGTAACAGTGATCTCCTAAATGATGTGCATCAGTCATTGATACTGAGGATGATCAGAAAATACTACAACTCTTATTGATGTTTACTTTTGTAATCTACAGAAAAATGATAATACATATTAATACTTAATATTCAGATTGCCAATAGTATATATTTGGTGGGTAAATATCTTTTGGATCTGCAAAATTTTCACTGATAGTTTATATCAGGATCAAAGTAGTTTAAAGAACATTAATCTAAAAGATCAGACTTTGGCATCTCATTTCTCTAAAAGATAAGTCATGCATGTCCACATTTCAGGCAATTTTTTTCAGTTTTAGTAAGTTTTATCCCTGATAATAACAGAAAACTCTTGATTGCTGTAGACCTCTGCTGTGTATTCGGTAGTCACTAGCCACATGTGGCTATTTAATTCAAAGTAAATAAAATTAAATATCAGATCCTCATTTGCACTAGTCAGATTTCAAGGACTAAGTAGCCACATGGACAAGTGGAAGGTGGTGTTCAGTTGCTGTTCACAATAGTTGATACCCCAGAATTTGGAGATGCAGTGTGGATACACAATTCCATCATCTCAGAAAGTGTTACTGGATTGTGAGGCCGCAGACTTTTCTTGCTCAGCAATCTTAGTCTCCACATGTTAGTCTCTTCATGCATCAGGTAGCATCTATAAAACATGCCAAAAGGAAATAGGCTATCTCTAAAAGTGTCCCAAACTTTTTGTCTTGTAAATTAGCTTATCAGCATACTTGGAGCCTCTAGCCTTAATAAGGACTTGATATAAATGTGTATCAGGAGAAAGCCTATCTTTTTCTGGAGGAATTACTCCTTTTTCATTTGAATCCGTGTTTGCTTTATCTTGGGCTCCTGAAAACTGATACTTTGCATTTAACAGCAGCATATGCCCAGGATGAATGATAATACATCTTCTGATACAGAGCTTGAGGTTACAGAGTATCTTAAATTGTTCCAGGAACTGTTGTTATCATTTAAGTCCAATAGTAAGGTTTCACCCTACCAGAATACACTTTTTTTTTTTTTAAACTGTCTGGACTTTTGCTGATTACATTGTCCAGAATGTGGAGTATCACATTTGAGAAGAGGATTGGCTCCTAGCCATAACATAGATACAAGGGTAACTACATTCATGCTGAGAAAGATTAAGGAATGATAGTAAGTTCATTTGAGTGAGTGGTTGGGGCCAAACATGATAGAGAATAGTCCAGGAACACATTTACTGTAAATGGTAGATTAGATGATGTTCTCTGATTAATTATGTTTGAACTCTGTGAATTACTAAATCACTCAAACTGCTTATTTGTATTATTAGATGCACATTTAAGTTTATATAAGCATTACATATCTTTAGTGGTGATCACTATTTTATCAGTTCCTCTTTCTTTATACCAAGTATGAGTCGTAAACCCAGTGTGAATTTGCCAAGAGATTGGCATACTATTTGTATATATGCTTTTCTTTCGAATAATGTGGATTTCCAATGCCCACCATCATTGATTCTGAATAAAATGTGGGAGTACGTAGATTCGGTCTTTCTAACAGTTTCCCAGTTGGTTTTGATAAACTTGAACGTCCCTACCGTCACCCCTTGTAGGAAATCACTGGTGTAATGTATGATATTAACATCTTCACCAATTACTCTTATAGGTGGAACAATCTAAAGTTTTAATCAAAGAAGGTGGTGTTCAGTTGCTGCTCACAATAGTTGATACCCCAGGATTTGGAGATGCAGTGGATAATAGTAATTGGTAAGAAGGGTTTGTCCTCACAACTTTGCAGTGCATTTGGTTAAACTTTTTCTTCTTAACATTTTAAAACTTCTCATCTTAGCAAAGGTCACCAAACTTCAAGTGACATGACTTGGGTTTGTATACCAACTTTGCCACTTATCTGACAAAGTTGTTGAACTTCTTTGAACCCATTTACTTTTCTGTAAAATGGAAATAATACCTATCATAAAATTGTTTTTAAGACATATTATAAAATAACATAGCTAAATAGAAGAATTCTCATTATTGTAAGAAATTTAAAACTGTTTGCTTTAATTTTATCCATTTGTATAAATTCTATCTCAATCCTAATTTAAACCTGATATTTAGACCTTCAGTTTTTCTGTAAGTCCTAAGTGAAGAAAACAACTATGAAATTTTAGTCTGAAGTGCTTATCTTAGTATTTTATAAATAATACTTTTATTTTTGTTTGAATTCACATTGTTTTTGAGGTAATTTTCTGTCAACTCTTAAAACTCATAAGTTCATCATGAAGTTTTTTTATTATTTAAAGTAATCTCATTTGAAATTTAAAACTGAATATAATTGTTTTCATATTATGAAGTGTGTTATTAATACACTTATTAGTGCAAAAATATGCTAATAATTTAGCTGTGTTTTGACAATAAATAGTTTATTTTCTTTCACTTGGAAAGTTTTAAAATAATAAAGATTTATTCAACATAATTTATATTTTTGAATCTTTATATGGAATAACTTGACATACCTTCTACTGGTAAATTCATTTTGCCCATTTGAAAATACTGATTATTGTCCTTTAACAGTCATCCGTTAATTCATATGTAGAATTGCAACTTGTTTGTTTATTTGCATTCTATAGCTGGCAGCCTGTTATCGACTACATTGATAGTAAATTTGAGGACTACTTAAATGCAGAATCACGAGTGAACAGACGTCAGATGCCTGATAACAGGGTGCAATGTTGTTTATACTTCATTGCTCCTTCAGGACATGGGTCAGTACCTTGATACTTCTAATTCCTTTTTTGTTGTTGTTGCTTACTGTTACCTTTATGTGCATATTTTAGTAATCTTTAAGTTTGTGAAGTACATACAACTATACCCATTATGAAGTACTAAATTTCATGTAGAAATGTCTTAGTTGAAAGCCTTTTTAAATCCTATATAAGCTAACAGTGATTTTACTCCTTAGTTTTTCATTCATAAGGATTTTCCCTTCTTCATGGAAATAAAGTATTGCCATCATGGTTTGAGGTCTCAATGTGGCAAATTTAGCTTTCATGTTAACCACTCTGCTACTCATTGAACTACCAATAAAGAGAAGCAGCCATACCGGTTAGATATATTCAGAATAAATCCAAAGATGCTATTTATTATATGTCTCATAAGAGATGGTTATCAAAAACACTTGCATGCCAGTGTTTCCTTGTGCCATTTCTTTCTACAATAAATCTATTTGGCTTCTGTTTCACTTTAACTGTCATAGACATGTTGTTTAGGTATCATATTGTTATTACTAAGCTTTTATTAGGATTTAAGACCTAAGAATCTAGACTTTAACCTGATCTGATTGTTCTGTTTGTTATAGTTAGCCTGTACTCCCTTTTTTTGTTCTTTGTAATTCCCTTGTCGTTTTGAGTACATATATGTGTCGTTGACAACTGCACATTTTTCCAGTTATTCTTCCTCAGTCTTTTCCTTTGGATAAGTAACTCAGCATGTATAATTTGGCCATCTGATGATTGTAACTCCACCATCTCTCCACCAAAAGAACTGTAGTAGCATCAGGCTAAATAGCATTAAGTTGTCTAACACTTACATTACAGTAGTGTAAACCAATTCCTTCAAGTATACCTTTCTCTTCTATTTTTGGCTTCTTGTTCTCTTTTTTTTAAAGATAGGTCAGTGCCCATTATCACTCTCAATGGATAAGGGAGCCTTAATTACATACTTATATTTTTGCACTGTCAGATTGCAGTGGGGTAAAAATGTTTCTTCTTTTATGTCTAATATTCTTTTACAGTGTTCTCAGTTTACATATTTAAATCACTAAACTGACTCTTTGACTTAGGCTCAAAAAAAGTAATCTCAAAAGTACAATACACTGTATAACCTTTTATGAGTATTTGTGTAGCTACTTGAATTTATATTTTTAAATCATTCTCGTTTAACTTGTCAGGGCCTCTTCATGTAAGCCAGCAGAGTGAAATCTTAACTTGCAGTTAAGTCAATAAAATTTGTCAGCTTATAACCAATTTTATTATTTTAGATCTTCTGGACTCTGTCCAAGTTGAGTAATTCTCATGAAATTACATTCCTCCCATCCCCTTGGGGAAAATTTTATTTCTTAAAATTGCATGGGAAATGAGAGTTTTTTAAAAAGAATACATTTTTATATTCAAGTGATATGTAGTAGCTTTGTGCCGTTTCTTGTCACAAGGAGTAAGATGTTTAAAATTGCTGTTTCCTATATATAAAAATATACCTTTGAACAATTTCTCAGTTTATTTTTAGAAATGGAGCAAAGTTTTGCCCATTGGTACATGATATTGTGGATTAAGTGAAGGAATATGGCACGGAATTTTATGTATAGAGTTCCAGATATCCTGCTCACTACAGACTGAAATTCCATGCACTCTAATAGATGAATCAGAGCCTTTCCATCTTGTCTGGGTAGTCCCTAGGTTCCCTTTTTAGAGGGATTTGTTTTTACAGTAATTATAAATGGGTCCAACAGTGTACTTTCAGTGCCTCCTACCTCCCTCTACCAAGTATGAACTGCATGCATGGCTAATTTGTGATTTCAGCTATTATTGCCTCATGTGCATTGTTCAGTATTTTGTAATTGTTATTAAAATAAAAAACTGACTTGGAACATGAATTTTAAAATGGTGTTTTATCCTTCTAGCTTTGATTACCACTTTTAGAAAAATTGGTGTCATCCAGTGAGTCTTATACAGAAGGATTTTTTCTCTTACACATACATACATAAATACATACATACATACATACATACATACATACATACAAAAAAATTTGTCATTTGCCCTGTACTTGTTTATTATGCTGTAGACTTTGAGATTAAATAGTCTTTTCTCTTTAGTATGGGCTTATATTCTAGAAATGATAAAGGATTTTCTATTGCTTAAAAACAAGATTTGAAAACTAAATTTGTTGGTGAAGACACCAGCCAATATAAAACTAAATGGACAGAGGAAAAAATTCAACCAGAATGTAATATACATGTGAACTCAATGTTTTCTGTTGCTGACATTTTGTAGGCTTCTGAAATTTATGGGACTTTTACAAGGTTTACCTTTTTCCTAAAGTTTAATTTTAAAACTGACTTAAATGTTCTTTGACCCTTTGGTTATATTTAAGAGAGTTGACTTCCCTATTTCCTCGTCATGTTTATTTTTAAATATCTTTCTCTCTGAAAGTTGGGATATTATAATAAATATTCAGCAAGCATTGTTTTGTGTTTAAATACAAAATCTTTTTATGTGGATTTTAATACTTTATATTAAATGCCCTTAAGATTTATTACAATTTTAGATTAACTGAACTCTGCTTTTTTGTCACTGGATTAATAAGCAGGCTTGTATCTGACATAATAGCTTAGTAAGGTTGTGGCAATTTAAATTTGTCATGAGTATAAATTGAAAAACCATAACAATTTAGAAATCTGAGATTGAATATTTCATGGCATTTATATTTAGTGTTTTATGTAATGATTAATGAAAATAAGCAAAACTTAAATTTTTTAAAAAAATGGATAGGTTCAGGCCAGATACAGTGGCTTATGCCTGTAATCCCAGCACTTTGGGGACCAAGGCAGTAGGATTGCTTGAGGCCACAGACTAGGCAACATGGTGAGATCCCATCTCTACAAAAAATTAAAAAATCTGTTGGGGCTGGGCACAGTGACTCACGCCTGTAATCCTAGCACTTTGAGAGGCTGAGGCAGGTGGATCACCTGAGGTCAGGAGTTCAAGACCAGCCTGGCCAACATGGCGAAACCTCGTCTCTACTAAAAATGCAAAAATTAGCCGGGCTTGGTGGTGGATGCCTGTAATCCCAGCTACTTAGGAGGCTGAGGCAGGAGAATTGCTTGAACCTGGGACGCAGAGGTTGCAGTGAGCCAAGATTGTGCCACTGTACTCCAGACTGGGCAATAAGAATGAAACTAAAAAACAAACAAACAAACAAAAAATTAGTTGGGCATGGGGGTGCACTCCTTTAGTCCTAGCTACTCAGGAGTCAAAGTGGAAGTGAGGCTCTGGTGAGCTATGACTGCACCACTGCACTCCAGCCTGGGTGACAGAGCAAGACCCTGTCAAAAACATAAATAAAAATGGATAGGTTCTTTTAGTTAACACTAGTGAGGCAAGAACACAGTTTACAGATCATATAAACAGTGTTATTCCATCTACACACTTTTTTCATTGTGCTCCCTATTCTCTGAATGCCAGTGTCAATTTTCAGGGGATTTAAGACAAGGAGAATTAGAATAGGAGGCAGCTATCTTAATTCTCCATGTTTGCTTTCTCCCCCTCACTGTCTCTGTTTTTCTGCCTCTCAGCCCTTACTACCACAGGAAAGTATATACAGTAATCTTTGTTAGTAAAAGGACTGGACTATCTTATTAGTCTTAGGGCCCTAATCCCCCCAATTTTAATATATATGTTTCTCTTTCTTCATTTTAAAATGTCAGTCAATTCAATTATTAGTCAATATTAGTTTATAAAATTATTAACAGAATGAGACCTTTATTTCATTTTTTTCTCATGTTTTTATAAAAGTTAAGGAATAGTACTTTAGAATGGTAGTCCTTTGCAAAATATTTCTAGTATCTTCATTTATTCTTGTGAAACATTGAATTTTAGTCCACGGTATATTCTAGATTTGAGGACTTTGGTTTGCATTTAGAATTACTAAAGGACATAAGGAAAATCACAGCAGCTTACTTTTTTTGTCAACAAATATTTGGGCACCTTCTCGAGTGTTAGATACCCTGCTGGGTGCTGAGGATACAGATGAATTGAGGTAAGGCCCTTACTGTAGAGGGTATTTCAGTGAGAAGACAGGAGAAACAAATACCGATGCTCCTCGACTTGGGACAGGGTAACATAAACCCATCATAACTTGAAGATACGTTTAATACACCTTGCCTACTAAACATTATAGAGTAGCCTACATTTGGGCAAAATCTAACATAAAACCTATTTTGTAATAATGTGTTGAATATCTCATGTAATTTATTGAATACTGTACTGACAGTGAAAAAAACAATGGTTGTATGGTTTCTATTCTATGTGTATTGCTTGCACACGATCAGAAAGTTGAAAAATTGTTAAGTGGAACCGTAGTGAGGAACCATCTGTATGTAGGCAGGCAGTTACTGTACAGCATATTAAGTGTTGTGACCACATAGAAATATGCCTAGTCTTAGGTTAGAGAAGGATTCCCAGTGGAAATTGGATTGTAAGCCAGTGTCCTAAAGGATGAATAGGAATTAGCGAGGCCAAGGAGAAGAAGGATGAGAATGGAGGGTGTTCCAGCCAAGGTAGTAGCCTGCGGCCAGATGTCAAAGTATGGTGCTTTCAAGGAATTGTAAGAAATTCAAAAAGGCTGGCTCATTGGAAGTAGGAGGCAAAAGAAAGGCCAGGCATGCTAAGAGTTGAGGTTAGCTTGAGAGTCTATGTCTTCATAAGCTTTGTAGGCCGTTCTAGTTAAGGAATCTGGCCTTTAATAAGATTTTTGGTCAGGTCATAACTCAATAAGATTTGGATTTAGAAAGACCACTCTGACTTCAGTATGGATGGTTTGTAGTATAGTTATTCATTCCAAAGGTCTTGGTGGCCTAAAGTAATGGAAATGGAGATATACATACGTACATACATATATACATACACATACACGCACACACATACACATGTCTATACACATACTATATATATGGGAATAGGATTAGAGGAGGGGAGGAATCCTAGGTTTCACACTTGAGTAATTGGGAAGATTGTAGTGCCATTCACTGAGATAGGAAGCATAGAAGAGGGAAAATGGGGGTTCAGATGAGCTTTTGATTTTAAGGAGCCCATGGAACACCCAGGTATCATATCCACTGGGTAAACACAAATCTGGAACTTAACAGTGAGATATGAGCTGTATATGAAGATTTGGAAGTCAGTTGACCAATTGAAGATAATTGAAATCTATTGTAGTCATAATAATTGTACTGAATGTAGAGTAAGAAGAGAAAGCCTGGTATGAAATTCTAAAGAATGTACCTCTTAAGGGACTAGCTTACTAAGAGGATCCTGAAAAGTATCGTAAGGAAGAAGAGGAGCTTGTGAGAGAATAAGTAATGGTAAGCACCATGATAGAAGTATTTAGTCATCTTCTTGAAAGTATGGAGGCAAACTGGAGGTAGCAGCCAGATTGTAATGAATAAAAGGGATGTTGAAGATTATCTTGTGAGCATCTTGTCAGAGAAAGATAGCTGGTAGCAAGAACTGAATGTGGAGTTGAAAGAGGGCTACCATTTTTCATTTTTAAAAAATCCTCCAGCTTGGGCAACCTGGTGAGACCTTGTGTCTACAAAAAATACAAAAATTAGTCAGGCATGGTGGTGTGCACCTGTAGTCCCAGCTACTCAGGAGGCTGAGGTGGGAGGATCTCCTGAGCCTGGGAGGTGGGTTACAGTGAGCTGAGATTATACCACTGCACTCCACCCAGAGCAACAGCGTGAGACCCCGTCTTAAAAAATTAAATAAAAAAATAAAATTTTAAAACCTTGTAAATTTTGAGTAATAAATATAGAGATAATTCTAGGACATTCTATTAGGAGCCTTTCTGGTTTTTCCAATTCCTCTTTAGGGCCAAAACCCTGTGACCAGGGTTCAAGGGCAGGAGTCAAAGCCTTAGCCACTCCAGTGCTTCTTGAAGTCCTGTTCTACCTAACTTTTGCTGGCCTAATACATCTTCAGAGTGTTTCTGATAAGTAAGTAAAGTAGTTACATTGTATTTAACTAGCACTGGGGATGTGAAGAATCTTGTTCTCCCAAACTGATGAATTCAGTCATATTAAATACTGTGTATTTCAGACTTAAACCATTGGATATTGAGTTTATGAAGCGTTTGCATGAAAAAGTGAATATCATCCCACTTATTGCCAAAGCAGACACACTCACACCAGAGGAATGCCAACAGTTTAAAAAACAGGTGAGCAGGATGGGTTAACCCAGGTTTCTTATACCATTCTCATAATTTGCAGTTTTTACTATTTTTAGTATAATGTATTGCAATCCATTCCTCTTACTGCTTTACTGTATTGTCATTTATACTGTATTAAAAATAACTCTTGAATCTTCTGCCTTTGTCAGTTTTTAAATATGACTGTTTTAAGTGTTCTTTAATAATACCCCCACACAGACAATTTCTCCCCATACTCTTTAGAATTATTCTTTCCTCTCCCTTCCCCTCCCCTCTCCTCCCCTCCCCTCGAATTATTTTTTTTAGAATGAATTCCCAGGAAGAGGATTATTCTTTCAAAGGCTATGATTGTTTTTTATGGGTCTTTATCTCCCCACTCCCCATTTTGTCATGGTGCTTTCCCAATAAAACAAATTTGTTTTCTAAAGTCTACATCTGGTTCACTGTGACTTTGCCAGCATTGTTATTTTTACTTTGAAAACTTTTTTGGAATGAAGTGGTACCTAATCATTTCTTTGTCTTTTCCTTTTACTTTCCAGAAAGGCTGAACATTTTAAAAACAAAGCTGTTTTTTCCCCCTTTTTGTAAACATCTGTTCAAATCCTTTGTCTTTTTGACCAGTAGTACCTGGTATTACCCGTATTTATTGATATGGGTTCTTTTTATTCTGAGTATTTAGTTCTCTCTCATTTTCACAATATTTTTTCTGTTTTCTCTTTTGCTGCTTATATCCTAATTTTGTTTTCAGTGCACTTTATGGGATATTTATAGTTTAAGTTATTGTTCAAACCTATGACCCTAAGATTAAGAGTCTCATGCTGTATAAGCTAGCTGGAAGACCACTAAACTGTTTTTCTAGACTCATGTCTAGTTGTCTCAATAATACTGAGTTACACAGTCACACATATTTCTAATTTGTGTCTTGTTCATTATATATTACATTTTATGAAATATAGGGTCAATTCTGGAACCTTTCTCTATTGCAGTAGTCTTTATTTTTGGCCAGTAGTATATTGTTTAAACCACAGCACTTTGTATAACATTTAAAAATAGATTGTAATTATCTCTGTTGTCCATATAGTCCTACTGTAACAGAATATTTTGTTTTTCACCTTTTTCAATATGAATTTCAGAATACCTTGAAACCTGTTATAAAAAGCCTGTTAAAATTTACTTTGAAGTTGTGCTAAATTCATACTAATTTTCAGAAAGTTTTAGTACATTGTTTTTACTGTATCTAGTATTTTTCTGTTTTACACTTACCCATTCCCATTTTTATTTTGTAATGTGCTGTTTCTAAGTTTCAAATACTAGTATATAATGCATTTCTCTTCGTTTATTATGTATTTCGATTTGGATTTTTACTGATAAAAAAGATGAATATGAAGTGACCTCTTCTTTCAAATTGGTCACATTCTGGTGGTTGTACTGAGGTCATTTTAATATACAACCTCTGACTAAAACCATTGCTTTTAGTGCTAGCTACTATTATTCGTTTTTCTCTTCATCATGTATTTGCAATTCCTCGTTTATTCTTTTTTTTTTTAATTTAGGTACATACCCTAATTGTAAAAGATACGTGGTCTTATTTTCTTTCAGTGACAATTTTACTTCTGTTTACTTCTGTCTAGTAGAGTAACCATGTAACATAGTTTGTTCAGGGTCCTTTTATAACTGCTGGGAACCTTTGCCATGAAAATTGCACCAAAATATAAGTATAGGTAGGGAAGATAGGTTTAGTATATTAGCCATTGGTTTGTTATGGGTTCAAATAAGGATAGGTAGTTGAAAATTATTTGGATGTCTATATTCTGTTTAGAATTTGGCGTGATTTTGGACATGATAATTTAATTTGACTGATGTTATTAATAAGTTGTCTTCTTTAGTTTTCTTCATTTTCCTTATTAATTCTTGAGCTTCTTAATTTCTAAGGTGTGTTTTCTCCTTGTGTCCTTCCCTAATCTTATACCTGTTGCTCCTCAGTTTGTGTGTATATACATGTACATGCAAGAATTTTTCTGATGAATGTGCAGGGAGCAGTGCTGTACTTAGTTTTACCTTACTTTTGCCAGATTCTACTAAAAATTTTAGGTGAGTTTAGCCCTGTTTATTCAACTAAATAAGATACTTGGGAGTTTGTGTCTAAAGGAAGAATCTCAGTCATTGTAAGTAAATGACCTAAGGTCATTACTGTGGAAATCAATCAGAGAAATCCCTTTCTGGAGTTTTACATCTTTTTTGGAACTCTTTTGATATGATAGCTATATGACTTTAACACTTCTGAAGTAATTGGATTTGGTATTTATATATCAACTTTACAGTTAAAAAAAAAAAGACTAGCATAGTACTTTTAGATTACAACTTTGCATCATTAAAAACAGTAAAGGATCTGAAACCAAGGACCCTTATAGGAATCTAAGAAGCATGTAATAAACATAAGACTAACATACTAATTATGTATGGTGCTCTTTTGCTGACTACTTCTTCCATTTTAGATAATGAAAGAAATCCAAGAACATAAAATTAAAATATATGAATTTCCAGAAACAGATGATGAAGAAGAAAATAAACTTGTTAAAAAGATAAAGGTAGGTTCATCCCTGTACATACACTAAAGTAATCTGAGGCCTTAAAAACATACTACAGCATCTGCAGGAAAGATCAAAAGTATTAGTGTTTTAAGTAGTTGGCTTACAAAATGCCTAGGGAGATTTAATGTTGAATTCAACTTTATAGTTAACTTTGAAGATTAGCTAGTGTATCTAATAAGGAATTGTATAAACTACCAAGGCGAATAACACAATTCTTATTTCAAATTGTTTTTAATTAAGTGGCTTTCATATTATGTAATTTTTTTCCCTCTTAAAAAACAAGTGATGAGAAAGGAGAGAATTCATTCTGTTATGTTTTAATTGCCAGACAAAAATGTATTTATTTTGTCTGTATAAAAGCCAACCAAAATTACAGCTAGATAGGAGGAATAAGTTCTAGCGTTCTGTAGCATTGTAGGGTGACTGTAGTTAACAGTAATTTAGTCTATATTTTCAGATAGCTAGAAGAGAGGATTATGAGTGTTCCCAATACAGAAAAATAAGTTTGTGTTGACAAATATGCTAATTACCCTGATTCGATCATTACATATTTGTATACAGGTATCAGAATACCATACTGTACCCCACAAATATGTACAATTATGTTTCAATTAAAAATAATAAAAACCAACCAAAAAGTAACAACATATTTTCTGTATTTTATCTCATGATTTTCTACATAGTTTGGCCCTAAAAATGGTGTACTGAATAATGGCATTATGTAGGCAAATATCTTGGAATAATGAAATTGTTATACATCGCCAGTGAAGAATTTCTGCAGTTGTATAAAATAGCTGCTTAGATATTTCCGGGAGCCACAAAATTGTGAAGGGCTATACATAGATGAATACAAATCCAGTCGCCAGGATTTGAAGTTCAGAAGTTAGAGCTTAGCAAATAGACTATTACCTGCTTTAGGTACTGTTGTAGTTGGTTTGTGATCAAGTATGCAGGCTAGTCATTAGCCCACTTTTTTTTCCCCAAATGCCAATGTATTTTTTACCTTTAATCCCCCCCAAGTATGAGACAACTTTCTTTAGTGATTTTTAGTAAATAATTTGACCAAGTATATGCTTGAATATTCTTAACATTAAAGAGAAAATTTAATTTTATTTATTGTTTACCTTGGTGGTAATACCATGTGATGGCAGTTTACCAAATATTTGTTAAATGGCCTTAAAAACTAATACAGAAACTATCAAAAGTAATTTTTTTTTTTTTGGCTAATCTGTTGAGTAATGTAACTTTCTTTGTTCTTGAATTTGTGAGGACTACAGAGATGTATTTGAACAAGAATACTTTGTTTTCTAGGACCGTTTACCTCTTGCTGTGGTAGGTAGTAATACTATCATTGAAGTTAATGGCAAAAGGGTCAGAGGAAGGCAGTATCCTTGGGGTGTTGCTGAAGGTAAGATTTTCTTCAGTGAATGACTTTCTGTAAGATCTCAAAACTGATTAAAAATTTGTATTTATAGTAAGTAGTACAATATGCATATTGTATTGATATAGTCTAAATTTTCAAGGATAGTGCTGATTTCAGGTTCTTGCAGTCTCATTTTCCCTTAAATACGCTGATATTTTTCAAACCTGTATCCTACTGAGTCAGGCAAGTATGTGTTCAGTCCTAAAGTTGTAGTATAGGTTGAACATTCTAGAATATTCAAAATGTGAATTGCTTGGAAATCTAAAACGTTGGCCAGGTGTGGTGGCTCACGCCTATAATCCCAGCACTTTGGGATGCTGAGGCGGGTGGATCACCTGAGGTCGGGAGTTCGAGGCCAGCCTGACCAACACAGAGATACCCCGTCTCTACTAAAAATACAAAAATTAGCCGGACATGGTGGCGTGTGCCTGTAATCCCAGCTACTCGGGAGGCTGAGGCAGGAGAATCACTTGAACCCAGGAGACGGAGGTTGCAGTAAACTGAGAGCATGCCATTGTACTCCAGCCTGGGCAACAAGAGTGAAACTCCGTCTCAAAGGAAAAAAAAAAAGAAAGAAAGAAATCTAAAACGTTTTGAGCACTGACATGCTGCTCAAAGGAAGCACTCACTGGAGCATTCTGAATTTTGGATTTTTGGATTAAGGATGCTCGACCAGTAAGTATGACACAGATATTCCAAAATTCCAAAAAAATGCAAAACACTTCTGGTCCCAAGCATTTAAAATAAGAGGTACTCAACTTGCCCCTCCTTGGCTGTCCCTGACTGGCTTTCCTGTCTCATCATTAAGATTATTTCTGTTTTCTTATTTGAAAACATACCTAAAATTCAGGGGTTCTTTACCTGGGGCCCAAAGTTTGCTCCCAGGGAATCTAATGAACCTCCTGGAATCCAACATTTTGGAGAGAAGGCCAGTCACTTTTATCAGAATGTCAGATGGTCATGGACCCTCAAGAATGATTGAAGAAATTTGTAAGCCCAGTTAAAACTTTCACAGTCTTTCCTCAGTATAAAAGTTGCCCTTTTCGATACTGCATATTTAGAGTAAAAAAGTTTTCATTAATAAGAGATCCTCTTTACTAGTTTTGTAAGGAGTTTTTTGTTTTGTTTTTTAACTTGCTATCTTAAATTATTGAGGTTGTTAAGTAAGGAGTTTTAAATACCAATAAAATCTTAGTTATAACACCAAACCTCAGAAGTCCTTCCTCTTGGCAATAGGTTTATTGTATTGGTTTAATCTGATATTTAATCTTCTGTATTACAGTAAGCTGAAACCAAAATTTGAGACATGATTGTTTTATCTGTTTGTTGCTATTATTTTTGAACTTTGTTTTTTTTTTTTTTTTTTTTTTTAAGAGACGAGGGCTTGCTATGTTGCCCAACTGGCCTCAAACTCCTGAGCTCAAAGTGATCCTCCCACGTTATGCTCCTCCCACATCACGTCACCATAAGCACACACCAGCACTGCCCCTGGTTTATTTTGAACAGTTCTTTAATTTTTAGGATATTGTTTCAAGTTACTGTCCTTATTGGCAATTTTCCTATTAGTGACCCCTGTACCTTGTTCCCAGCTGGCTCCATCATGCCCAGGCAACTTTCAGTTGCTGAGCTGAGGCTTTAGAACTTACATATCCCTTAAACATACGCACTGGAGAAACTGATTTGCGTCTCTCTTGTAGTTTACCCGTCTACTCCCAAGTAATATTCCTATTTCTGATACATTCTTTAAAAATAAAAGTAAAGAACCTTAAAGTTCTTGGCTCCCTTTTTCATTTTGCTTACCTTAAGATTTTTTCTAAAGTGATTCTCCCTTCACTCACCCCACTGAATTTTTTAAATGTATTATAGAATAAATATATTTTTTACCAATAATAAGAAAATACATGATTTCCCCTTTCAAAATTTCAAAGTTGTTTCTGGAGAGCTCATTTGTTAGATTTACATATCTATTTCTGAGGATTAAACTACGATAAGACAATAATAAAGTACACTTCTCTGTCATGCCCTTACATTAGTACTGTGTTAGTGTTAAATCTCAAAAAAATTGGTCTGTTTTGCATTTCCTCTCCTTGTTTTACTCCCCAAGTTCCTGTGAAATATTTTTTGAAGAGACTAGGTTTAGTGGAAATATAATAAATGTGGTCTATTTTTTTCTTACAGTTGAAAATGGTGAACATTGTGATTTTACAATCCTAAGAAATATGTTGATAAGGTAAGTGCAAGCAATGATGGAAATAGCTTAATATTTTCTTTCCGTAAGTAAGAATTGGACAGATTTGCTTTTTGCCTTCTATAAATATAGCTAATTTAAATTTCTATATTCAGTCTAGCAATGAAGTAAGCACTACATGTAGATGATTCTTTCTCCAAGGTTTTGAAGTCATGAGCAAGTTACGAAATAATTTGTTTAGGGATACATAGGAAAATTAGTCTCTTTACTTTATCATTATACTTTGTGTTGAGGTTTATTACTGAAATAACTATGGAAAGTGAAATAGAAGAGGCTCTTTTTTCTTAATGTGAAGAACTTGTGAAAACTATATAAGGGAAGGCTAGTTTTTGAGTCAAAAGCTAGAATTTGAATGTTTAAAAGGTGCACATCCTGATAGCTGGTGAGTAGGCCACATTTTATGTACTGGAACACAGTGAACAAAACCCATCTTCCCACCAGGTGAGAAAAAGAAATCCCTAAATTGTGTCTTGCACACCTGCTGAAAGAGAAGGAAAGCCTATGGGAGCAAGACATTGAGGCCATCCTGATTAGAGGACCAGGACTAGTAAAGAGGATCTCTTACTAATGAATTAGAAAAGCAGCAGCAGAGAGGAAATCGTGAAGAAAAAGTGTAATAGGACTAGAGATGTTAGTAGACAAGGAACAGAAGGGGCATCAAAATGATCCTCAGTGTTTTCATGTTGAGACACACTCCTTCCTCTCCCTACCTCACTCCGCATTTCCCACTTCTGTCTCTTGCTTCTCTACGCCTTTACAACGTACTCTCTTTAACCTTCGGTTTTAGATGTCTGTCTGAAGTTGATATCCATTCATTTTCATACCCCTACTTTCCCAAAACAGAAGAATCTCTTTAGCTGTGTAAAGAAAGGTAGTAACATAAATATGGATAATAGTTGGAAATCATGGAATAACAAGAAGGTCATTCTCAAAGTGAGAAGTGAGGGGGAAAATTTAAGAGAGTCAAACTGCTACCTCAAGAAATACAGTAGAAATGAGAGTGAATTTTGAAATTGAATAAATTGGCATGTAATTGATCTTTATTTTCAAAGGAGCCAGTGTTCTTGGTAGGAAGTACATGATAGAGTTGATTCAGCAGTTGGGGTTGCCAGGCCTCACTTAGTGAAGAAGACCAAATGCACGAGAAGGTCATCCTCTGGGTTTTGAGAATACAAAACTTCAGGCTCTATTATGAATATTCCCTTCCTCTCCCATTCTTATAGTGTTACTTCAAAAGAATATATATTAATAATATAATCTGCTCTGACAGTATATAAGTAGAGAATGTTTAATAAATACAAATTACCATTGCATTCCTCTTGTTTAAATCCTCTATGGTACTTGCCCAGTGCTTGACATGGTGGCATTCTATAACTTTTTCTTACGTATTTTAAAAGTATACAATCAATAATTGCCTACAAAGCTAAAACACTGTAGAGAGGAAAGCTAGGTACTGAGTCAGAGACTACTTTGTTGAGATGGACTCTCAGTGTGTTGCCCAAGTAGGAATGCAGTGGCGCGATCTTTGCTCACTGCAACCTCCACCCAGGTTCAAGCAATTCTCCTGCCTCAACCTCCTGAGTAGCTGGGATTACAGGCATGCGCCACCACACCTGGCTAATTTTTGTATTTTTGGTAGAGACAGGGTTTCACCATGTTGGCCAGGCTGGTCTCAAATTCCTGACCTCAAGTGAGCCTCCTGCCTCGGCCTCCCACAGTGCTGGGATTACAGACGTGAGCCACCACACCTGCGCGGCTCAGAGGCTACTTGGAATACTCGAAGGTTCACAGCCTGGCAGCTAGTAAGGGGCCTCCCTAGTATAAGCATTACAGAGCAAATTGACCATGCCTGCAGGAAGATTTAATAGAGCAGAGCAGCAAGACTTTTATGCCTAAAAATTCTTAAGTTATTAAAAAGATGTATATTTAATTTAGCTCATGTCTTTACGACAAAGCCATCTAGTGGATATTTAATAATTACTTGAAGGAAGGAAATATAGTACCAATACCAATATTGCAGATGTCTATAAATCCCAAATAATTGAAATCTTGCAGGTCAAAGGAATAGTGATTGCTTCTAAGAAAGAGGCAAGTTCAAAGAAGTTCTCTTGCTAATTGAGAGAACTGACTTACTCCAGGCAAACCAAGGAAGACGATGGAAAGGAAGAAAATTATACAGATATTTTCAGGGTGTAGAGATGGGTGTTTCAGAAATCAAATGGGGAAAGAAAACAAAAGGAGAACAGAAAGAGTTATGGTATCAGCAATGGGAAATGGAAGAGACAAATTCCTGAAACTGGGGAAAACTGTATTGCAAATTACCAAATTATTTTGAGAATGGAGGAGTGGGTTGAATCGTAAAATGAAAAAGCATATTTAATTAAATGGAAATAAAGACTTGTATAACCTGAAAAAATCAGAATTATGTAGTCGTACAGAAGACTATAGTGATTTTAGTGAAAGGGAAAATTATTATCTAAAATGTTAGATGACGCTAACAAAAATAACTTAACAATTAGTAAATTCACCTTACTTTTATTTTACACATTCACACAAACATTTCATATAAGTATTCTTCCTTAGGACCTTTAATGATTTTTCAGTGATGCAGTGATGATATGTGATACATAATAACTAAAATCAGGCCATGTGCAGTGGTTCACACCTGTAATCCCAGCACTTTGGGAGGCCAAGGTAAGAGAATTGCTTGAGCTCAGGAGTTCAAGACTGGCCTGGGCAACATGGTGAAACCTCGTCTCTACTAAAAATACAAAAAATAGTTGGGCATGGTGGTACACGCCTATAGTCCCAGCTACTCATGAGGCTGAGGTGGGAGGATGGTTTGATCCTGAAAGGCAGAGATTGTAGTGAGCCGAGATCGTACCACTGCATTCCATCCAGCCTGGGCGACAGAGCGAGACCCTGTATCAAAAGAAAAGAAAAATTAAATAAACATTGTTTTATATTGGCATAGGTGTTTGTTATTATTCTCAACTTAGAGAAACTGGTAACAAAAATTTATTCCAAAAAGTGTTTATCATATCTCAGCTTCAATCTTGAGTTACGAATTTTGTTAAAATTCCTATCTGCTATCTGCATTGGGGCATAAAAGGTAATGGCATGTTCCTTGTAAAGGGGAGCTTACAGTTGAAGAGGTATGATGTCACCTATGACATATACTTGTACCAAAAATGAATGACAACCAAGGAGAAAATGGTCATGGTTGGAATGCTTTGATGTCAAGGCTGGGAAAAAGGTTTCCAAAGTAGTTGAAGTCTTTGACGAGAGATTGACAAATTAGCATGAACTGTTCAGTGTCAACCACCAGATATGCCAGGAGTAGGGAGCTGCCTGACTTTCCTGAAGTGGAGTGGTAGAGCTTTAGAAGTAACTGTTGTGGCTATAAGAGAACGTGAATTTATTAAGGGACAGAGTCTGGGAGATGAGATTTTTGGAAAAACCAGACTTAGGACTAAGGAGAGTGAACTATCAGAGAGCTGCATGGAAATGTCAGTACGAAATGAATCAGAGTGATTGGATATCACATTTTATTCACAAAGGGGGAGATTCAAGAAGCTGGATTGTGAAGTAACAGTAAAGGTTTTCTGGATGTAAGGAATGATAAAAACAGTACAACGATATACTTTTTTCTTTTTTTTTTTCTTTTAAGACGGTGTCTCGCTCGTGTACTCAGGATGGAGTGCAATGCGTGATCTTGGCTCACTGCAACCTCCACCTCCTGGGTTCAAGCTATTCTCCTGCCTCAGCCTCCCAAGTAGCTGGGATTACAGGCACCCGCCACCACACCTGGCTGATTTTTGTATTTTTAGTAGAGATGGGGTTCCACCATGTTGGCCAGGCTGGTCTCGAACCCCTGAGCTCAGGCAATCCGCCTGCCCCAGCCTCTCAAAGTGTTGGGATTACAGGCGTGAGCCAGTGTGCTCAGCCAACAATACACTTTTTTGTTTGTCTCCCAGAAAGGAGTTTTAGTAAAGTGGTGAAAATGAATGATGGCAGATATAGGTAGTTTGAGATAAAATGGATGATGACAAGAGGGAGGACTGACAATAGAGTATTGCCACATCATGTATATCCAAGAACACTGCATTGGTAAAGGATATCCATAGAGCAGCTAAGGGTATCTTCAGTGTCTTGAATTATTAAATAATGATTACATCATCTCATATGTATTGTAGACTTACATGTATTGATTTTATATATGATAGAAATGTTGTAAGCAAAAATTTGTTTAACCAAAATACGTTTACTAGACAGTTTGAAGAAACAGAAAACTACTCTAAAATTTCCTTGTTTGAAAGCAACTTGATATGTGATCTGAAATTTATTATTATGTATTAATAAAAACTCATATATTACCTTAGTAATATTGCTAAAAGGCAGTTTCTTTTAGATTTTATAAGCTTCAGTAGTAGCTAATCTTGTCTAGTTTTTAAATAGGTAATACAAAGATGAATACTCTTTTCATAGAAAGGTCATCCTTCAGTAACTGCTTTGGGGGATTTATGGGTCTTAAAATCTCATTGGAATCTAAATTTGGTGTCAAGTTAGCTTATTTTTTGTTGGTCTACTTTGAGTGTAAATGAAAACAGATGAATGCCACCTTCCTTAACAATAGTCTTTTTCATTTTAAATCTGAAATGTTTGTTTTGGTAAAATTTTGAATTTATATTAAAGCTTTTTAAGCTTTTTTCCCCCTAGCTATTAATAGAAGCAAACTCTTGCTGTTTATTTATGACAGAACACACATGCAGGACTTGAAAGATGTTACTAATAATGTCCACTATGAGAACTACAGAAGCAGAAAACTTGCAGCTGTGACTTATAATGGAGTTGATAACAACAAGAATAAAGGGCAGCTGACTAAGTAAGTATGTATTTTTTTCGCCAAAAAAGGTATTATTTCTGTAGTCAATAATCATATTGTTTCATTTTCATTAAATTTCTCCTGGCTACTCAGTAGAAAATGTGGATAGTGTTCTCTATGCACAGCAGCATAAATTTATATTGTTTTGCTTTAATAATAGAAGCTTTTTTTGAATGAACCATTTTGATAGCGTTTTCACTTACAGATTATGTGGAAAAAAAGGACAGGCTTTAACAAAAGGAAGATTTAGATGAATTTATTCTTGGTTACCTTCTCTGTTCCTATTCCAGGGAGTGAATTAGCTGGAGTTGCGTTTTCTTCTTTTGGTTGTTAGAGTGGTATAAGTGACTACAAAGTGTGTAGCTTTGCCCTGTTGAGCTTATATCTCAAGCTGTGGTGGTTTCATGTTGGGGTCGAAAAAAGAGATGTGTGAGGAAGCTGGTAACCATGTCTGTGTCCTGCTTTTTAAAAATCTGTCATTATTGAAGATCATAATTACGTCATATGTCACTTAACAATGGGGATACCTTTCTGAGAAATGTGTCATTGGGCTATTTTGTCATTCTGTAAACAACATAGAGTACCTGCACAAACCTAGATGGTAGAGCCTTCTACACACCTAGGTTATGTGGTACAGCTATTGCTTGTAGGCTGTAAACTCATATAGCATGTTACTGTACTGAATGTTATAGACAGTTGTAACATAATGTTAAGTATTCGTGTATGTAAACATAGAAAAGGTGCAGTAAAAATACAATATAAAAGATTAAAAATGGTATATCTGTATAGGGCACTTGGTTTGAATGGAGTTTGCAGGACTGGAAGTTGCTCTGGATGAGTCAGTGAGTGAGTGGTGAGTGAATGTGCAGGCCTAGGACATTACTGTACACTACAGTGGACTTTATGAACACTGTACACTTAGGCTATACTACATTTATTTCTTAAATTTGTCTTCAATAATATTTTTTGCTGTAACTTTTTATTTTATAATAACTTAAATTTTAGAAAACTTTTTGATTCTTTTATAGTAACACTTAGCTTAAAACACAAACACATTGAACAGATGTATAAAAGTATTATCTTTGTAATCTTTATTCTATACGCTTTTTTCTATTTTAGAAGTTCTTTCTTTTTTCACTTAAAACTTTTTGTTGTTGTTGTTAAAAACAAAGACATAAACTTACACATTAGCCTAGGCCTACTCAGGGTCAAGATCATCAAGATGCCACTGGGCAGTAGGAATTTTTTAGTTCCTATGGGCCACCATCATATATGCCATCCCTTGTTTACTGAAATGTCATTATGCAGTGCATAGCTGTATTGCAAAACCGTTTTAAATAATGTGCATTTGTAGCTAGGTGTTATCTACCATTAGAAGATAATCCTGAAGGATCAACTATATAAATAAGAAAGACAAGTTCTCAAAGTAGCTATAGTGTTTTCCGTAGTGGTTAATATGCCTTATAGTAGAATAGAAAAATGTCCCTTAAATATTTAAAATAAAAGATTCTGTTTGAGGTAAGCCTCAATATGTGAACAAAAGGAAGGCTTTTTATCTCTTTTTAGCAAAATGTTTATGAACTTTGGCATAAAAATGTAAGGATCCATCATAGTGAATATTCATAAAATCCTAATTCACTTTAAACTCATTATCATTAACGATGAACTTTTTAACTCATTAAAAGAAACATATACATAAAGCTACTGATAATTTTGTATGTTAAAATATACTACTAGTACATATTTTTTGTTAAATATATGTACTTATTCAATATGTTTTTTAAACATTTGTTATGTTGTAGATATAAGGAATTATTTATTTGTTCCCATGTCTCAAATATAAGGCTTTTTAAAGTAGTGCAGTATCATTAAGATCATTACAATATCATTAAGTATTTTTCTGCATATACAAAATTCTACTGTGTGAATACGTGAGTTAAACTATATCCCAGGTGAAAGCATAAATAGTGGAATTCTACTGGAAATAATATCTCTTAAAGAGAGGAATCATGACCATACTTTACCTGTGCATATAAAAAAAAGAAATGTTTGCATTGCTAAAAAGCAAATTGCCCCAGGAGCTAGCATAATATTTTATGCTAATAATAAATAGGAAAATAAACATTTTACAAGATCAAGCCAAATGGGGAATGGCTGTAATTGGAATAGATATTTGATATGATTTGATAAATTAGATTGTTACTACTTCATTGAATAACACATACTGAACCTGAAAGAAATCACTTAGAAGTTTTATCTATTGGTTGTATCTTGCATTGTCTTGAAAATGTTAGCAATTTCAAAAAGTATTTTTGTTAAATTTTTCTTTAAAAATCATTAACAACTTATGGTGCTTTAGCTGATGTAAGCTGCTTTTCCTCATAGGTCAGTACATATCCATGAATAACTGAAAAGAAAGACTAATGTTTAAATAAGTGAAGTAAGCAGGTGTGAGTTTAGGCTTATTTTAATGTTCTTTTGTATTGCTCTCATGCGACTCTCCATAGCAGTATATTCTTTGACAGTGGTTGTGGGGAGGGGTTGAGAGTTACAAGAATTTTGGAATGGAAGGTGAACCTATTGAAAATTTATAGTTAAACTGATCTTTGGCAATGTATGTTTCACAAAGTGCTAATCACACTTTGGTTTTAGAATATAAGCTAAACTTTTTAAAGATGTTAGACAGTGAATAGTAAAATACATTCATGTGCCACATAATGATGTTTCAGTCAATGACTGACTGCATGTATGACAAGATCCCATAATATTGTGTCTGTATCATAGAGCCTAAGTGTGTAGTAGGTTATACTGTCTAGGGTTGTGTAAGTACACTCTGTGTTGTTGACACAATGACAAATGAATTTCTCAGAATGTATCCCCATTATTAAGCAGTGTGTAACTGTAGATCAGTTTATCTTATATTTAATTTTCTGAGATAGTTTTGGACAAACTGTAGAGTCTGTTGAAACATGAAATAAAAATTAAAAATATATGTGTAGCTGTCTGAAAATGTGCCTTTCTGTTATGTCAGTAGCCCTAGAACAATTCTGTTTTAGAGGGACTTAAAACAAGAATTAGATTGTGTGGTTTCAATCTGAAGAATAGCTGAACTTGTCCAGTCAGCTGTAATTTGTCTCAAGTTTAGATCTGGAGAAGTGGATGCCATTCTTAGCAGCTATCCAGTAATTACAACTGTTTCTGACAAAGAAAGTATGGAGCCATCCAAGTACTTATATCCTTAGAGAATGCATCTTGCATCCCTATATGGAGGGTGATGGGTGGTTGAAAGCCACAGAAAGGGTAACCTCTCAAATCAAAGAAAATTCAGCAAGGGTTTATAAAGGAAAGGGAAGAAGAATTGGTCATATCCAGATTGCTGATCTCTTAAAGGAGGTGATCCCCAGTAAGAGGAGGGCCATCTTTTTTTTTTTTTTTTTTTTGCTAAACTTCCTTCTTGAAGTTTTATCTGCCTCCTTTTTCCTTGATCTTCTTTGTACCCCTTTACTTAAAATCACATTTTATTGGTAACTCTTTTTCAGAACTGATGTCTATCATTGGTACCAATTGTGACAATAGATACCTTGCTCCAAGTTGGGGCACACCCTAGTCTCTCTCTGCCTTATGTTTATTTTTCTGTTCTCTATAGCCTTCTCCATCAGTCATTTTGGGAAAACTTTATAAGTAAATGACTGAAAATACAGGTTTCAAAGGCAGATTCTCAGAATTCTTGATACATGACAGAGTTTTCATTGATCTAAATAGAAATAAAGACAATTTGCTGAAAATTTCAGGTTTCCAAAAAATTAAACTTAGTTATACCTTTTACTCTTTATTCAAGTGTCCTTTCATGAAATTATAATGATAGTAGTTGGAAGTTTTGTTTATGTTTGGTTTTAATACTCTCACGTGGCAAAACAAAATGTTAGCAACCCTTATTACTCAAAATTTTTGGAAATTTTTATATTGATCTTTGAAATTACTGAAGTGAAATTCCTTTGGAAAATTTTGCATAGTGACCTACTGACCACTGGAGCAAAAGTATGTAAATCTACTTGCTTAATTGTTCTTTAGGAAAGACCACACACATAATTTAAATGAAACATGGTTGTCTTTTGTTACACTCCAAGTGTGGGTCATGTGTAATGCAGCAAAGTAGAACTTGACTAGGTCATCCTTATGTGGTGGCTGTAATTCTCTTATTGGTCACATGAAGGGGTGTGGCTTGCAGGAATTTTAACCTTATAAAGACAACTCTAGAAGGAGCTAAGTCTTTGGGGATTTAGTTTCATATTCGGGTTATGTTGGAACCATTTTCTTTTTCTTGTTTTACTAAGTTTTTTTCATTTCTTTGGGTTTTTAATTTCGCTGATAGGTTTATAAGCTTTACTACTATATGTGGGTGGATAAGAGTTTCCTGTTAAAAAGCAGGCGGGCAATGATATAAATTAAATGGTTTTTCCAGTCATTTAATAAAAGGTTTTACTTGGAAAAAAAATAGTAAATGTGAAGATAAAAAGTGATCTCCCTACATTTTCTACATTGTAAGCACAATTTTTTGTTTCGATTTTCTAAAAATTAATAAAGATGACTAGAAGTGAGGTGTTAATTTAAAAATTAAAAATTTGAAAGATCATTTTTATTGGTGAGAGACTTCAAAAAATTCATTTTAAATATGCATGAACATTTTTTCACAGTATTTGAGTATATTTGGTCAGATTATTTTTACAAGGCTAAAAACTTACAGTATCTTAACTGTCAAATAATTGCAAATTTCTTTTAGAAACACATTTAGCATATTTACAACTTTGAACAGACTTTCAGAAGATAAGTGCACAGCATATTTTTGTAGTGATTTAATGTAATGATTATGAACATAATTTGGGAAATAAATCAGCTTTAGTGAATTTTACTGTAAATTTTTTATTTAGGGCACATACCTTAATAATTTAATTGTGAAAGCTATGCATTTGACTTTAATTGCAGCTTTTAGCATGCTTTATTTTAAATGTGCTAAATCACTAATTTTTGTTCCTGTGGATATGATATAGTTGAAGGCATGTATGGCAGGGGATTTTACTATACAGGGATTTTTAATACTTAAATTTTGAATTTAAAAGAAGATTTTTTTTTTTCTTCGAGATGGAGTCCTGCTCTGTCACCCAGGCTGGAGTACAGTGGCACGATCTTGGCTCACTGCAACCTCTGCCTCCTGGGTTCAAGCAATTCTCCTGCCTCAGCCTCCCAAGTAGCTGGAATTACAGGCATGTGCCACCACGCCCAGCTAATTTTTGTATTTTTAGTAGAGATGGGGTTTCACCATGTTGGCCAGGCTGTTCTGGAACTCCTGACTTTGTGATCTGCCCGCCTTGGCCTCCCAAACTGCTAGGATTGCAGGTGTGAGTCACTGTGCCTGGCCTAAAAGAAGATTTGAAATATCATTGCATGTTTTCTTGGCAGTCTCTCATTTTCCCCTTAGAATTATTTAAATAATAATTTAGGTGGCAAAATTACCTGCTCCTTCCCAAGGATAAAGATAAACATTTTATAGATGAGTTGTGTAGGTAGGAATAGATATTTCTGTCTGATTTCTAATTTAATATATTTACAATCATAATTATATTATTGGATAATCTTAAATTACTTAAATATACATATTCATTTACTTAAGGTTAGCAATTAAAGAATTGTTTTTAGATTATTTTCTAGAAACTAAAAAATATTTTTGGGGTGTTAGGGGACAGTGGGAATTTTATTTTCTAGAAACTAAAAAATATTTTTGGGGTGTTAGGGGACAGTGGGAATTAGAGACTCTGAAAATCTAACAGAAGCTTTGGACCCTTTCACCGGAAGAATGCTGGCAAACACAAACACACATTTGGTATGCTGTTTCAGGGCGGTCACTGACACTGGGTGTGCTCAAGAGATCAGAGGCAACTATATTAAAAACACTTGCCATTAATATGAGGAATATATTATTAAGCATCTCAACTTTTACCAAAAAAAATGGTATTTACACTTGGAAATGTATTTCAGCTGACTCCACTTTTAAAATGCAGGTTCTTGTTCTAAGTTAGTATGTCTGGTTAGTTTCATTTTCAGAACTTTTGATTCATTGTTTAATTGGAAAAATATGTGGCAGGTTTGCATGTAGAAGTAAGTTTTCTTTTGGTGAAGAAATATCCTTGAGTTAACATTTTATTCTAATTTATGCAATTGCGAAAACAGATCATCTTAATCATAGCATTACATCACATCTTTGTTCTTCCTTTTTGTTAAGAAAAACTAGTAGCCAATATTCGGTCCTTTTTGTTTTGTTTCTAACATTTTCTGTCTAGCTCTCTTGCCTGCTTCCTTGATAGAAAAGACAGTTGCTGTGATGGTCAGAAATATTTAGCCTAATAAGGAGAAAAGTCACCATAATAAGAGTGTGTAAAATCAGGGTTAAAATGACTAGCCTTAAAGTTACGAGTGAAATCCAAGGTCTGGTTTTTGTTTTTAAGCCGTGAGTTAATTCTTTTTTAAAAAAAGTAGTGTATTGCAATAAAATTTACCCATTTAACATGTAAACCTCAATGGTCAAAGCCTGTTTTTATGGAGGCAAAACAAGCATGCTTTATTAACAAAGTCAAAGAAGTACTTATCTCTTTAATTTGTCCTAGGGTATTGAATAATTTTCAGAGATTCTCAAAGCAAAGAGCCCATTTTCTGCTCCTTTGCTAAAAGCACTAGGTACTTTGGCATTCTCTTGTGTCTCTGTGAGAAAGTATATTAGCCTTAACAAAGCCCACCTGTAAATATATATCAGTGTGAAAATTTTGAACACAACTCTTCAAGGAGATTTGAATCCATGGGACTTTAACGTCAACAGAGTGAACATTTTTTTTTTTTAATTTAACTATGCTTATGTCTATTTTTTGGCATTTAAAAATAATTATTAACAAAATATTTGCTCCTGATTATCTCTAAAGTATGTGTGTGTGTTTTAAATCACTGAAAGTCTTTAAAACTTAAGACTGAAATATTTGAGTTAAGTGGAATGAATTTTCAAGAGCATTGAAGTTATAAGGGACCAAAAATATTCTGTATGCCTAAATAGTGCTCTAAGTATTGACTAGTAGTTGTTTCCAGCATCAGTTCAGTTACCAAAACAAATAATAATTTTTGTGTTCTTAGTAGCTGTCTTAGAAGAGATGGTAACACTTGAAATTTTGGTAAAAAAATTTTGGTAAAAATATTCTACATATGTTAACTTCATTACTTATTTTCTGTTTTTCATGTTAAAATGTTGTTTAAAGAACAAAATTAAATGATTTTCATCTAATGTTTTATTCTGTGAATGTATTTTGGGAATTTTTTTCCCATTTTCCTTCTACAGTTTATTTGGTATGTCATCCTTAAATTTGATATGCAGTAGGTTTAGAAAACATCTTTGATTTTTAGATTTTTTTCCATAATAAGTTTTATATATGAAATATCACGGAAATAAGTTCTAGGTTATAAATATATTAATAATGACATACATATATAGCATCTCATTTGTTTTCATCAGCTGTTTCATAGTTCTGTATTATAATTTTTATTCACAGACATTTAATGATTACCCTTAATATTCATGACAGGAGCCCTCTGGCACAAATGGAAGAAGAAAGAAGGGAGCATGTAGCTAAAATGAAGAAGATGGAGATGGAGATGGAGCAGGTGTTTGAGATGAAGGTCAAAGAAAAAGTTCAAAAACTGAAGGACTCTGAGGCTGAGGTAATCAGTCTAATATTCTATCTCTTAGCAGACATTGTGTTCCTTTTTAAGTAGTGTCTTCAGTAAAATTTATAGATAAAGTAACCTTTTATGCATGTTTTTTCAAAATTAATACCCCAGTGTAACAAAATGGAGAAATTTCTAGAAGCAAGCACTGTGTTTATAATAATATATGCTTCAATATGTAAGTGCTTAGACATAGTATATTAGGTAGGACAGTGTAATAGAATACTTACAATGAATTATTAAAGTTATGATGAACAAGTTTGAGTTGTGAAAAAATAAAATTACAAACCATTCCATACAGGTGGCATAAGAACACTAAAGATGAGAGTTTGGGGGTGGATGTATGCACAAAAACTAGTGTTAGGATAATAATAATTGACCATACTTATTTGTGTATGAATGAAAAAGAGGGAAATAACCTTTATTGAACTAAAGATATGCCTGGATAAATTACACACAATTAAAGGAGAGAAAATTAGGGAATGTGATAATTTTTGTTAAGGTTGGGCTTTTCTTATTTATAATGTACATGTACAACATTGGGCAGGGTAATGACAAAACATCCCAGAAGACGTATCTACTATTTTGAAACCCTTCTAGATGTTGAGTTATACATTTAGTTTCTATTAATCAAAAAGACCTTGGAGACATTTCCTTCAATAGGTGGCAAGAAAGAAAGGATGGAGAAAAAGATAAACTGAACATAAGAATCCATAGAACAGTTAGTTTGATAGATGTCTGAGAATAGTAGAAAAAAACTATGGGTAATCCCAAAATAAATAAGTGATTTCAGTATGAAATTTTCTCCACATAAATTTGATATAATTAAAAATTATAAAATAGGCTGGGCATGGTGGCTTATGCCTGTAACGCCTGCGCTTTGAGAGGCTGAGGCAGGCAGATCACTTGAGTTCAGGAGTTTGAGACTAGCCTGACCAACATGGTGAAACCCTATCTCTATTAAAAATACAAAAATTAGCTGGGTGTGGTGGTGAGTACCTGTAATCCCAGCTACTTAGGAGGCTGAGGCTGGAAAATGGCTTGAACCTGGGGGGCAGAGGTTGTACTTAGCCGAGATCACGTCACTGCACTCCAACCTGGGTGACAGATCGAGACTTTGCCTCAAAAAAAAAAAAAAAAAAAAAGGAAAAAAATCCTATAAAATAATAAATTATTTTAAAATATGTGAGATGAAGGCCAGGTGTGGTGGCTCACATCTGTAATCCCAGCAGTTTGGGAGACCAAAGAAGGATTGCTTGAGTCCAGGAGTTTGAGACCAGCCTAGGCAATATGACAAGACCCAATCTCTACAAAAAATTTTAAAAAATAGCTGGGCATGGTGGCATGCGCCTATGGTCCCAGCTATTCAGGAGGCTGAGACAGGAGAATTACTTGAGCCTGGGAGATCGAGGCTGTAGTGAACCATGATTGTGCTACTGTACCCCAGCCGGGGTGACAGAGCTAGACCTTGTTTCAAAATTATATATATACATAATTTATGGATGGATTTATATATATATATATATGGATGACAGTAATATAAAATATTTTTAAAACAATCTTTAATGATAAAATTTAGTAAGATCCCTGTGTTTTATGTGGCTTCACTGATATTTGTATCTAAGTATATTAAGAAGAGATTCAGATCTCTTCTGTTATATTCTTAGAGTTGATCGCATTGCTTTTGTAATTACTGCGTAAAATACGGAAACCTTTTTTGACTAAAGGCTTAACAAAAGTACTGTAATCCATTGAGTAAATAGAATGCATGGCATGAGAAAGTATTAAATAATTTCAAGGAAATGTTTTTATTCCACATTAATTTCTCTTGCATTATTGGGCTTTTCTTGTAATTTCTTACTAAAATCTTTCACTGTTGTTATATTTGTTTTGAGTTTAATTTAGCCGGGATATGGAATAATTACTCCTGGTTTGAGACTGCTGAGCACTACAGGACTAGCATCGCTGGCACTGCCACTAAATGCTAATAGCAGTGCCCTCCTATCATTGGGCAAACCAAAATGTGCATGCACACACACTCCCAATCAAGAATCACTGTCTTAGCTGATTCTTATTGTATTATAAATGAATAATTAAAGTTCTTAACATGACATTTTGGAGGTTAATTTATCAGCCTGTTAAATATATGCATTGAATCTCTACCTCTTCAGTAATTCACATATAATTTGGAAAATCTATATCCAAAGAGGGGTTGAAAAACAGGAATAATCAAGAGTCTACTACATTATCTCCACACTTAGATTCCATTGAGAATCTAAAAGTAGTTTAACTTATATTTGAGGCAAATGTATTTTAGGACATGTTGCTAAGAGTAAATATTACAAATAAGTAATTGTGAATCTGTAGCCAAGGAACCCTTTGGGAATTTTCATGATTACTATGAATGGTGAAGATTGTTTTGAAGAACTATTCTTTGAAGGATGGAATGTTAACATTTAAAGGACCTGTGAAGAGCTCTGGGCCAAGGTTCCCACCTGATACTCTAAGCCATTAGAGAATTAGGCATGCTCATTCTAGATTCTTTGTCTTTTATGAAACCACATCTAGAGTGTATTTACCAACATCCCTGTGGTAATGAGTTTGCAAATCATCATGTATATGATACATGATATATATTATGTAAATATGATACATGTGAATACATAAATAGGTAAAGAAACCCTTTTAGCCTTGTTTAATACAGTTTCTCCTTAAATCCATTACGCTGGAAATACTTGTTTGGGGCACAACTAGCAGCACAGTACATCAGTCACAGCACCAAGCATCTTTCATTTATTGTGTTGTCTAGTGCACACCACAGCCCTACAAGGTAGATATTATTGCTCATCTCTCCTTTATAGATAAGAAGAAGGATAAATTAACAATATGCCAGCATTTGAACCCAGTTAATTTTTAAGTTTGCTGTTAATTGCTAGATAGGTTCACAGTCCTGTTTTTCACAACTTCAGAATGGAAAAAGCTCTGAAAACTGCAAAACCTAACATGAACTAAGTTTTAATCCTACATATTGTGAATATTTATATATTTTACTGAAACAAATAAAAAGTAATGTGTTTGATTATACTTGCTGCCCCAGATAGCCCAGAAGGTATTTTATAAATATAGTATGAACTCATTTCTAAACAGTGTTGTGGTTTTAATAACTGAAAAATGTTGAACTTCGAAAGGCGTCTGACCCCATGGGTTTCTTAAGAGTGAGATTGTGACCTATACCTTTATCTACATGCAGTTAACACAAAAGATAATTACTTACATGTAACATAAATGTAAGTTAAAGAATGATGAACACTGTAAGCCTACCACCTGGCTTAAAAAAATAGAATGTTATCAACTCATTTGAAGACCCTGTGTGCCTGTCCCCTATTGTATCCCTCTCTCTCATTCCCAGAGGTAACTACTATTCTGAATTGTGTATATGTGATTCCCTTGCATTTAAAAAAAAAATAACTAGAGACATTTTCTTACATTCCTACTTTCTGACATTTGTTAGTAACTTGTTTGCTGTCATTGGGAAGATTTCACCTCAGATTTACTCATGTTTGCTTAAGTGTGTCTTAGGTGATTCTGTCTTGTAAGAATTGCATGAAATAATTGAAATAGGAATAAATCTGAAGTCACTTCGGGCTTGCAAAAAAGAAAAATTGTATGCAAAAGTATAATATATAATATATAATATGTATAATACATATAATGTTGTATATTAACATTATGTTAATGTTAACTCACCAATGTAGTAAAAATCTATAACAGAACATAATTCCTGGATAACCGAAGGTTTTGAATAGTCCTTGGGTATTTGGCATAGGAGGATTTAATCTGCTTTTTAAAATTTGTTGACTTTTCTTTTTTTTTTCAGAAATGGATTGACTTGCATCTAAATGAAATTATTTATCTAATGATCTCTTGGACTTTAAGGCCCTTTGTTTCTGCAGTTACTTTGCATGAGTGTTTACTACCTCTCAGTCAGCATTCTTTACAGCATTAATACACACAGGAGGAAGGACCACCTGCATTAGAATCACTGTAACTTGTTGAAAATCCACATTTCCAAACTGAACACCCAGATATTCTAATTCAGTACATCTGAGTGAGGTTCAGGATTCTGTGTGTTTAACAAACATCCCAGGTGATTTTCATGAAGACCAGTGTCTGAGAACCACTGCTTACAGGAATCAGAGTACTTTACTGGCATCTTTGAACTCTTAGGATCCTAAACTACCTGCTTTCTTTTCACTTGTCTTAGCTTTCTAAACTTGGAATTAGGAGGCTTATTCAAGTCCTGGTTCTTCCACTTTCTGGCTAGCAATCTTGGGCAAGTCATTTAAATTCTGCAACTGTTTCCTCATCTGTACAATGAGAACAATGATGTCTTCACTGCCCAGCCTCCAACATATTTGTGATTAAAGAAAAATGAGATAAGATAGTAATTTTCCATTATAAAGTACTCCATACTGTTAAGTTTGTTGTTTTTTTTTTGTTTGTTTGTTTGTTTACTGTTTCCCAAGATTATTGTCTTGGGTCACTGGCCTTTTGGGTCCTAAAGTAGGAGGAGTCCTTAACAGTGCTTTCCAGGTAGTACTCTGAATTTACAATAGGGCTATTCAATGCTCATATTCTTATCCTTAGGGTGTCTGGATGAAACGTACTTCTGCTTCTGATTTCTTAGTTTTGTTTTATATACTGTGCTATGATTTAGCTCCAGCGGCGCCATGAACAAATGAAAAAGAATTTGGAAGCACAGCACAAAGAATTAGAGGAAAAACGTCGTCAGTTTGAGGATGAGAAAGCAAACTGGGAAGCTCAACAACGTATTTTAGAACAACAGAACTCTTCGAGGTAACTAATAGCAGATTACTAAGAAATGTGTGTATTAATGTTTTAAAGAATTGTTTTCCTACTTATTTAAAAAACATTAGAATAACACTTAAAAAGTCATCACCCATTATCATGCATTCCAAACACAATGGTTTTCATGGATAAATATTTTTATATGGATGGATACAGTCTGTGTCCATTAGCAGTATTTTTTCAGTACATCTTTCATGACTTAATCTTCGTAATTATGATTTAGCAGCTTCATAACATTCTCCCCAGTTAACTTACCTTAATTGGATTTCTTACCTCCTCCCCCCAATTGTTGGACATAAGGGTTGTTGTCAATTTTTGGCACACAAAGGGAACATTCTTCAAAATCTGTTACATATTTAGGAATACTTTTTAACTGTACTGGATTATGTTGTTACGATAAAATTCTTAAGACAAAATGTTAGATATTTAATTTCCATTACAGCTAATCAATTACTTTCTCTTAATTTATACAAAATTCAATGATATTTGAATTTTTGGTTTTCTTTTCCTTAATAGTTTCATTTAAAACTGAAAAGTGGCATTCCTATAAGGATTATATAGTTTATCCTCATTACTAAACATTTTCAGATTTGACATTTGTTCTACTATACTATACTACTGTTAACATTTTCCCCAAAGAAGAGGAAAATAGATTTGTAAAAGCAGTTGCACTGCAGAATGCAAATGACAGTGGGGGAAAAGAACACCCTGTTTAATGCTAGTTGATATTTTTTAGTTTGTGCTGTTTCATTTGGAAATAATTGTTCTTGTATATTAAAATTGGGTTTTGCCATATTTTTTACTATTTATCCTGGAGTTTTGTCAAATATTTGTCTAAGAAAATACTATTATAGATTAACATTGTCTTAGCTGTTTACTTCTAAGTCTTTTAATTTTTTTCAATGAAAAAGTATCTGAAAATCCCAACATTGTTGTAATTGGGTTAGCTGTTGTTATCATGTTTATCAAATGGTTACTCATCTTGATTATTTCCCTTTCATCATTTAGAACCTTGGAAAAGAACAAGAAGAAAGGGAAGATCTTTTAAACTCTCTATTGACCACCAGTTACGTATTAGTTGCCAATATGCCAGCTTGGACATCAGTGTTTGTTGGATCCGTTTGACCAATTTGCACCAGTTTTATCCATAATGATGGATTTAACAGCATGACAAAAATTATTATTTTTGTTGTTGTTCTTGATGGAGATTAAGATGCCTTGAATTGTCTAGGGTGTTGTGTACTTAGAAAGTAACAGCTCTAAGTACCTTTCCTACATTTTCTTTTTCTTTTTTAATTAAACAGATATCTTCAGTTTAATGCAAGAGAACATTTTACTGTTGTACAATCATGTTCTGGTGGTTTGATTGTTTACAGGATATTCCAAAATAAAAGGACTCTGGAAGGTTTTCATTGAGGATAAATTGCCATAATATGATGCAAACTATGCTTCTCTATGATAATTATAATACAAAGGTTCCATTCAGTGCAGCATATACAATAATGTAATTTAGTCTAACACAGTTGACCCTATTTTTGACACTTCCATTGTTTAAAAATACACATGGAAAAAAAAACCCTATATGCTTACAGTGCACCTAGAGCTTTTTTATAACAACCTCTTTTTGTTTGTTTGTTTTGGATTCTTTAAATATATATTATTCTCATTTAGTGCCCTCTTTAGCCAGAATCTCATTACTGCTTCATTTTTGTAATAACATTTAATTTAGATATTTTCCATATATTGGCCCAGCTAAAATAGAATATAGCATCTTTCATATGGTAGGAACCAACAAGGAAACTTTCCTTTAACTCCCTTTTTACACTTTATGGTAAGTAGCAGGGGGGAAAATGCATTTATAGATCATTTCTAGGCAAAATTGTGAAGCTAATGACCAACCTGTTTCTACCTATATGCAGTCTCTTTATTTTACTAGAAATGGGAATCATGGCCTCTTGAAGAGAAAAAAGTCACCATTCTGCATTTAGCTGTATTCATATATTGCATTTCTGTATTTTTTGTTTGTATTGTAAAAAATTCACATAATAAACGATGTTGTGATGTAATAGTGTGTGGGGTCTTAAATATCCTAGAGTCTATGTACTAGACTAGAGTATGTTTGGGAAGAAACTTTTCAACTTGAGTTTGCCTCCTCTACGATGACATCTTTTATATGTTTGTCTCATTTAGAATGCATATGTGCTGGTTTTCTAATTTAAGAGACACCATATCTCTGTTCATTTCTATCTCTCATTTGTATGCTTATTTTTCTGAGATCAATTTTTTTTTTTTTTTTCCCCAGACAGGGTCTTGCTTCATTCCCCAGGCTGGAGTGCAGTGGCACAAACATGACTCACTGCAGCCTCAACCCTCTGGACTCAAGCAGTCCTCCTGCCTCAGCCCCCTGAGTAGCTGGATTGGAGGCGTGCACCACGACGCCTGGCTAATTTTTCTATTTTTTGTAGAGATGGGGTTTCATTATGTTGCCCAGGCTGATCTCGAACTCTTAAGCTCAAGTGATCCACCCACCTCAACCTCCCAAAGTTCTGGGATTACAGGCATGAGCCATCATGCCCAGCCTCTGAGAACAATTTCTAACTCATTCAGATTAGGTATACTCTCAAGTTCCTGGAAACTGAAATTTTTTTAACTGGAAAGAGGGTAGTGTAATTTCTTTTCTCAAGGTCAAGTGACATAGATTTTAACATAATGCATAATTTAAGTAAGAAATTAAGTAAGTAATGTAGCCCAGTTTATTATTTTGAAATGTTTTACCCTGTTTACTTTTTTAAATTAAAGACCTAAGCAGAGGGAATAATTATAAGTCAATAGCAGAGAGATTGTTGTTTGGGTGTTTATTTTTTTCCGTTTTTGTGTTGAGAGATTGGGTTAACACCTCTAGCCAAAAATGTTTGGTTTTAGGGAGGCTAAGAACAACCTACTGAATTTGGAGAATGCAAAGGTAAAAAATGTATATAGACTGCCTGCCTAACTGGTTAAGCACTACTGCTTCTGGGAAATATTATTTCAAAATTCTATGTATTATTATAATAAATTTGTAAGACATTCATTATTCTACCATGCTAATGAAAACTTTCAGAAGTATTTATCCATGGCATGCCCAGGGTTTCACCTGAATCTGATATAGCATCTATATAACTTTACTTTTACTAGGACTTTTGATTTTTGACTCCAGGCTTAAGTATGTCAGAAGGCTCTTTTTGCTATTTGGCCTGTGGATTTCTGAGAGGATCATTCACAATACATGTAAAATTCAGGTAGGCCTAAGGAAAGGCCAGCTCTTAGGAAGCAAAATGGCAATGTCTGTTCTCCACTGTCAGAGGCATTATGTAATTGAAGTATCCTGTTAGCCACTGTCTTTTTGCCAATTAAGTGGGGCTGAACAAGTAAGCACTAATACCGGTGAACCACTTGGGCACCTTGTGGATAGAGTTTTGCTGCCACCTAGTGGAATGGGATATCATTGCTTCCATAGCAGGTTCACAAGCAAGTTAAGTGGACACAGCTTGTTTCTGTGTAGCTCAGGCTGTAATCTTGAAAGCTGAGGAGATACCCATGCCTCTTGTACTCATTAGCTGGGTGTCACATTACCACCTGCACATTCTGACCCACCGCATCTTAATATGTTTAATCCTCTTGGAGGAACTAATCTAGGAGTAGAAGTCAGAATATGGTAGGTAAGGGGAAAAAAGGAAAGATGGCTTGATAGCTACGAATGCATCAGCAGCAAAATGTTGACTCAGAAAATTATCTAGATCACGGTCTCCAAACCTGATGCTGTTTCCTTACAGAAATATTTGTTGAGCATGTGTCCATAATTATATGTATTGATCGACAAAAATATGTGTCAACAAATGTACTGCTACACTAATGTGAAAATTATGAAACAAAATTTGAAAGAGTGAAATAAAAAGGTTTGCACTCTTTTGCCAAGCCCCAGTGAATTATTACTTTCTACCTTGGAGGCCATCGATCTAGGTAGTATGTGGATAGTTAATAGTTATTGTTGAATCACCAGGGAAGGTCCTAGTGAAGACCGCTGTAATGTCCTACTTGATTTGAAAGGAAAATTTGCCACATCAGTAAATCGCAGTCCTTTCTGATGATAAGCTTGCAAATGTAAGTCCTTGTACTTCATTCAGAATTTTACCTGCCCCTTTTGTAATAACTTCCCGTAGCTGTCCTGTTCCAGATGGTAACCTAAGTAGTTACATGTGTTATTTAATCCTTAATGATAACAATTGGATAAGTTATCTATTAGGATAACTTATTAATACATTAATAAATGAATAAGTTGCTAAACATTTTAAACCCTGCTTCCTCATCTGCAAAAGGATGAGGAAACTGAGGGTTTAAGATGTTTAGTAGCTTATTCAATAGGTGGTAACTGGCAGAACCAGAGTTTGAACTGGTCTTGGTTACATCAGGACCTGTGCTTAAATCTTAAGCCTTACAAGTACCTGGTCTGCTACACTGCCACATTTCTGAAGCATGATCTTCTACAGAGTTGTTAGCACAGAGCAGAAGCTCCCTGATTAAAGGGTCAGCTGGCCACCAGGCAGCCTGGAGAAGCAGAAAGCACCAACACGCTCATTGTCTCAGTTTAGACCCCAACTCTGAATTGGGCATGTAACTTCTCTGAATGTTTCCTCAGCTATAAATGGGCCCCATGCCTTCCTTGCTGGTTTGGAGTGAGGATTACATTGTGACTGCACACGTTAAGGTGTCCAGACCTCAAGAATGTGACAATCTGCTGGGGTCATGACAGACCAAAAAGTACTGTTTTAGTGATGGTTTATTTTTAGGAAATGTGCATAGTGCCATGATAAGTCTCTGGATCTGCTGCTTTGTGCACAGAGATAGTCTTCTGTAGTTAATTCCATGGCAATAAGGTAATTTTGGTCAAAAGAGGAAAGGTGTTAGTAATTGGAGTTATAAAATACATCATTCTTGTAAGTAATGCTGAGATGGTTTATCAGAGTCTCATGTTTAATGAAAACTTTTGCTGCTTTTCAAGCAAACTTGGTTCCCATAATTTGGGATTAATCCATAGAATGTTCAAAATTTAGTGTCAGCCATTTTCAGCAGAAAATAGGGGCTGACAATTTCCTGTGTTCTTTAGAAGACTTTGAAAGCTTCATGGGAAGAATGAAGACTATTCTTGGCCAGAACATTTGTCCCATGGGGTGCTGGACCCAGCCAAACAGCCTTGTATTGGCAAAGGAGGGTCAAGTGAAAGGAGACCTTGTTCTGTGCCAGGCTCTCAAAGGGTAGCCTGAAACCCTATTGGCCACACAGAACCTCTGTTTTAGATGCTGTTTGTGGACCTGCCGAAATCTAATGCCACTCAGGGCTTTCTGAAACCCTATGGGGGTGGGAAGAGGCAGTAGCTGACACCTCTGAGAAGAGGTTTGTGAAGATGTGGCATAGATGAGGCTAGCAGAGGGGGGATAATCAGACACTACCAACAAACTTCCTTTTTATTCTCTTCGTTCTGTCTTTGAGGTGGGCCCTTTTGTACAAGTATGTTGCAAGGGAGCAGCATTTCACTGGGAGATTTGCATGTAAGTAGAGCACAGATTCCCCTGGGTGAGGGGCTGGCTCTCACCCAAGTTTGGGGATACCAAACTAACTTGTTCTGGCAAAGGCATACAACATTTTTAGCCCTCATTTAATTCTGTTGTCTTTGAATTTTTAATGATCTCTTTCATATTTAAATATATGCTCTACTCTAGTGTAGCACAGAAAAATTCCCTGTGTCTTGGATAAGCCAGTAGTTTTAAGCAACTTGGCAAATGGTGAGTGAAACAATGAGCACTCTGGTATGGACCATGGTGTTAATGTGAACTTTTTTCCCGCGTTTCAGAATTTAGGGTATGTATCGGTGGGATATACTGGGAGCTGTCCATTTTTTTTTTTTTTCATAGGGATAAATCTCAATGTGTTTATACAAATCTCTGGCTTACCCTGATAAAGTTAAAAAACAAAACTAAATGTTGTATACAATATTTCGGGAACACAGTTCTCTCACTCAGACACAAATGAAATCTTCCTTAGACCTTTGTATTGCTGGACAGAGGTGCCAGGAACTCAAATTGGCATTTTCTCTCTCAAATCTCCACCTCATTAGTGCCTAATTAGACCCCATCCCTAAGAGTCAGGTGCTTGAAAGATGGAATGGAGACCACTGATAAAAATTCACTTTCTGTAGTCGCCATTCAGGTATGATTGGCCTGATTATAGCTCATGTCCTGAAAAGGAGATAGATTTTTTTTCTCCCAACTTGTAAGGACTGATGAATTCATCCCACCAAATATGAATGTTTTAGACAGTATTGAAACTGGGAAAAATACCTGCCTGAAAAGGGAGAGAGAACTCACTTGGAAGTCTAAGGGAAGGAAACAAAATTGGAAAAGCGCAGCAACAAGTGTCTTGGAGTCCTTGCTATGTGCAAATACAGAGCGTTCACATAGACTCTGAACTAGAACTCATGAGAATGCTATGACATGGCCATTTCCACCTCTTTATAAAAACAAGCAAGCTAAAATTTCACTGTGTGATTCTGTAACATTTGTATTTGTTATCCATTGTTCCACAATAAATGCCCCTCAATCCTGGCAACAAAATTTAAACCACAACAATCTGTAATAGTAACCATTCGTTATCTTAGTTTCTGCAGGTTAGGAATTAAGTGGTTTAGCTGGGTGGTCTGGCAGGGTGCCTTGCAGTAAAGATGTTGGCTGAGGCTACAGTCAACTGTGGGCTTCAGTGGGAGTGGAGGATCTGCTTCCACGATGACTCACTGAAATCACTGGCAAGTTGATGTTAAGCCCCTTGCCACATGGACCTCTCCACAGGGCTGCTTGAGTGACCTTGTGACATGGTGGCTGGCTTCCTCCCAGAGCAAGTAGTCCAAGAGAGAACAAGGCATAAGCCACATGGCTTTTATGACCCAGCTCTGAGAGTCACACACATAATTTCCCAATATGCTATTGCTATTGCAGCTTCGTCCTGTTCAATACGTGAAGGGGCTGTACAAGAGTGG